GCACTTGAACGCTTTTAAGTTATTTCAGCACAACTAAATCTAATGCATGAAGCCTTTGGTATGTTATAATATTTTCCAAAGGAGGAAAAAGACTAACAGTCAAATTTCTACATTATAATTCACAAATTGACTCATTGCTTGTGGAACAGGATTTGGAGTGGAGGATAGTGCATAATGTGGCATTATAAATGTGGAATTTGGTCCTCTTTGTAATCCCCTCTCCTTAAAAGTCTGTAAAGATACGTCTAAATATATGTTCTGGGATAGTTAACACCCTAAAGAGAGAGCTTACAATATTCTTGTCTCATAGATCATAAAAAAGAACATTAATAAGTTTGTTTGAAAATACTTTTCTTTTTTAGTGAACAGCTTACCCTCGACTCAACCTAATGTTGAGAAAGGAATATCAATAATATATTGGACCAGCTTATGAATTATTTTCTACCATAAAGGTTCAACTACAGTAACATAATTTGTTTATCTTGTGTTTAATTAATAATGTGGTTAGAATAGATCTGACAATACTACTTGTAACACTTTCAATTTCGATTAATAAATGTGATCATTCCATAAAAAAATAATATTTAGATGCACAAAATTATGTTAGTTTAACTCTTCATTAATTTTTTTTCATACACAAGACTATTAATTTAAGATGACAAAGTCATAGTCAATCGAAAAGGAAAATTAATATTTAAAGTTAGACTAAAAATCTGTCATAACTGCTCTTTATTAACTTTCATATCCCAAATAACATTGAATTGCTCAAATAATAGAAACATCGGTAACTTATTCTTGGCATGGCTCCAGTTAACACAGAAAACTGATAATTTCGTTTCATGTTTGGTTTAAGACAAAATAATTTTTTTAGAAAAATTGTGAAAGAACGAAAACAAGAGGGAAGAAGGGAGTTGGAGGAAAAGGGCTTAAGATAATTGAAGGAGAGCAAGAAGAAGAGGCGTGAGCCTGTAGGAAAGGGAAAGCAAAAAAATTTCATTTGGATAGTTTAATTCATGAATTGGAGTGGATATGTTTCCATATTTTAATTATAACAACACATTTTTATATTTAATTTATACGTATTTTTTTAATCATATATTTAGTTACTCTTTTTTAAATCTTTCTTTTTAATCTAATTCTTATTTTGATGTAATTAGGTGAGGGGCTTTTTTCTTTTTTATGGTTTTCTTTTAAAATTACAGAAATATAATTTTTTTGATAAATTATATAAAAGAGTTTTTTTTTTCAAAAATCACTAATAAAATTTTTTAGTATTTTTTTAAATATTTTTTTATTATTTTTAAGTGAGTTTTGAATTTTTAAAATTTTTTAAAAATATTATCATCAGCAATTTTTAAGATTTTACCACTTTTTCACTATTCGGTCTCTGAAATTTTTCTATCTACACATTAAACATTGTTATTTTACAAATTTTAAATTTCATATTTTTATAATTTAAAAAAAAACACCATATTTTTTTATATATTATTTCTAAATATCATATATAAAAAATAATTTGAAGAAATGTCCCAGTACCCATGATAATTTTAGGTGGCCGTCTCTCTCAGATAAATTATATCCTGGATTATGTGATGCATTTAATCTTCATTGTTTGAACTTTATCTTTAACAGTATTATTATCATGATCAGATGGTGCGAGGTCAATTAATTTCGATATTCTAATTGATTTGTTTTATATATATATATATATATATATATATATATATATATATATATATATATATATATATATATATATATATATATATATATATATATATATGTAATGACTATTTCAACGAGTGCCAATATGTATGTCAAAGTATGTCATACTTCTATACACAAGTAACTTAAATTAAGTGTGTGTTTAGGTTTTAATGTAAAAATTATAATTTAACATTAAATAGATTATGTTTTAGTAAATTTAATTTAAATTTAAATAATGAGTAAAAAAGAAACTATTGATGACATTACCGCTTCCGTTCAATTGTTTTGAAGTTATTGAATCCGTTTCCTCGTTCGAGAATCTCCTCTCCTTCTTTTATTATGTTCCGAAGAATAATTAGATCAATTCAGTCATGTTTTCTGTTTCAATTAAATATTTTTCTTTTTTTTTTATTCTCAAAGAAGAACATTAGCAATTCTAATCAGTCCCTCTCACCTCTCATTGTAGAAAAATAGATAATAAAACGCTTGATTATCTTGTTTCATTAGAAATTAGACAAGATAATAACTATTTATACTGGTTTAGATATTGGATAGGTGAGAAAATTTTTGGTTGAGTTACGTGCTTACTTAAAAATGAATAAACCCCAATTTAAAGAAATAATATCTTTCACCAAAACATTCAAAATTCATATATTTGATAGAAAATTATTAGTAACTGAATTTTTTTTTAATCAATCACTTTTTGAAAAAATCAGTATCAAGTTTGAATTTTAAAATAGTTAATTATTTATTTTGAGAACATGAACAAAAAAAAAATTAGATTTCGAGTAGTAGTATCAGGTACCTTAGCTATTGTTCTTGAGAAATGACCGGTTTTTGCCCATTCCTTAAAAGAAGTATTTATGGGATTCTTATCTACTAAAATTTTAATTTTTTATTTCAATGAACGAATAATCATTAAGCTCTTCTCTTTCCAGACAACACATATATTTCAACCATTTCCAAACACCTCGTAGCATTTTTAGAGATCGAACTCTTGAGACTTTTATCATATATATATATATATATTATCATTTATATAGAATATAAATAGAAATGATTTTCATGAATTACAAAATATAAGATTATAGGAATAAATTTTATTTTTAAAAAGGAAGATTTTTTAATTAAGTATCAAAGAGTTAAAGAATTTAAGACAGAATACCAAATCAAAATAGATTGATTTTTTTCATTCATGAAGAAGTGCATATTTTATTTGAATCTTCTTCCATAAATGTAATTTCTTTTTTTCTCTATGGATAGAGTATTTTCTTCTATGAATTTTTTTCTCTATGAATTTTTTCCATTAAAAAAAATAAAAAATCTAATGGATTTTTTGGATTCAGATCCTTAGATAATAAATAATACAATAACTAACCTTCTTTTTTATTTTTGAGTATTTTTTTAAATATTATAATGGTTCCGTTGTTTACTTATTTCTTTTTTTTGTTATTAAACAATCCGAAAGTTTTTTGTATTTTGTTATATGTTTTTTATTTTTTAGTTAAAATAAATATTGTTAAAAGCTTTTTGGTATGAAAACCAAGTAAAGCATGCAGGCGAAAAAGGTAGCTTAACATAGGCTTACAAAATTTCTGAATATTAGGTCATTTTTATCTAAAATCTTAAACCCATAAAGGGTTTGAAACCCATAAATAGTTTGATAAAGACATGATGAGGGGAGGTAGCAGCTATTCTCTTTTTTGGTCGTACAGGGCCCTCTATATTTAATAGTTTCTCCCACAAAAAGAACTTGTAACACCAATTCTATTTGGAATTTCATCAATTACTTATCTATCCATACAATAATTTAATTTTCTTACACTTCCAATTAAAGATATTTCATAAAAAGCATCTATACAACTACGATTATATGACCAATCACATAGAACATTTATTATATTATCGGCAAGAATTTGTTTGGAAACACTTTTTCAAAGAGCTTCTGGATGCTATTGTTTTGGAAACATACATAGCATTAAAACAGCATCCACTTATCCACTATAACTTTAGCAGCCCCCCTTGCTTCACCCACTGCAAAAAGTGCCTTTCAATTATTCTAATTGGACATTTCATTTTATTTTTAAAACTTTTCTTCTAAGCAAAGATTGTTAAATTCATTCAATTAATATTTTTAATTTTAATATCAAATACCAATGTGAAGAAGTGAGTGAAAGATAATTTCTTAATCATAATTTTTTTACAGTGTATATATTAATTTTTTTTATGAATAAAAAATTATTTATTTAACCATATACGAGAGAGGATCTATTTTACAAGAATAAAATTGTTGAACGAGGAAACTTTGAGTTGATCACATGAACGAATTTTTAATTTTAATATTACTTATTGAGGCGTATTTTTTTCAAATGAATAGTCTAATTTATCATAATCTATTTACAACAAAAGTTTAATAAATAATGTTCATCTTCGTAATATTTTATCATTATTTTTTTAATAATTATGTAATTTGAATAATTAATTAAACTACAAAAATAAATTTTGTATTGTGACGCTCAATAACTTGGAGGAACTTTAAGTAAGTATTTTATGAAGATAACATTGAAAGAAACGATGTTTTATCTTTTTAATTATTATAACTTGTTTATAAGACACTATTAATAGTTTTTAGTTTTTTTTTTTTATGTTACTTTGACAATTTTTATTCTTAGGAAGCACTAACTTAAGAAAGAAGAAAAAAAACTTTACAATTTAATGTAATTAGCATGAATGTGTTGAGTCTCGTTTTGTGGCAGATTGTTTGCTAGTGTTATACAAGAACTCGCCACAAAATGAGACTCTCTGCGTGTTCAGATGTTCTCCACAATCACATGTTTACACATAGTTATGTTTCATGTTTTTACTTAATGGCATGCGCATTAACCTCACAATAGACATTGCGTACACACTAGCACCCTCAGCTTAAGCCTGCAAGCAAACACGACAGAAACACATTTACGTGAACTCTCTAAAGATGATTGTGTAGATCCATTTTTTAAGATAACAATTCATTCTGTTTTCAATTGACGCTACTTTCAGCTATTTTTATCTTTCCAGCACCATAACCGTCGAACCCTGATCCTAAAACTCGTAAGCCAACACCTCCAAACAACCGGAAAATAGGTCATAGAACACATTCTTCTTGTGTTACTATATTAATTTCAGCTAACACTTTTACGAAGTTTATATCAACAAGTAAAGTTTTAATCAGAAAATAAGCTAAACATGATTGTTTCTTCTATAAATTTACATGTCTGAAAACTAGAATAGAAGTGTAAAACTAAAATCACATAATGAAGTCTTTCATCTCTATATTTTTTCATGTATGTCCTCTTCTTCTTCTATTTTATCCATTGGTTGTAACACCTATATCACCTCCTAAAACTATGAACTATACATTTCCTGCTGTTATAGCGTTTGGTGATTCAATCTTGGATACCGGAAACAATGATTACATTATAACATATATGAAAGCGAATTTCAAGCCGTATGGAAGGGATTTTATTGGAGCAAAATCCACGGGAAGGTTTAGCAATGGCAAGATTCCTTCAGATTTTTTTGGTACTTCTGAGTGCTATCTAAAACTTATTATTAATATTTGTTGATGATTTAATAGTAGTTGTTAGTACAAAATTATTCTCATTGTTCATTGTTCTTAAAGTTTTTCATATAATTGCAGTTGAAACACTCGGTATAAAGGGGACCTTGCCACCCTATCTTGATCCAAAATTGAAAGTAGATGACCTCTTAACTGGTGTGTGTTTCGCATCAGCCGGTTCAGGATATGACCCCGTCACAGCTAGAATAATAGTAATCATCACCTTATGTCACTACAGTATTTTTATGTGTCAAAAATTATAATTTTATTCTCAACTTTGTGTTACATATATTTTATAACAGTTCTTTTTATTTCTATTGTATAGTTGGCATTGTCAGCAGATGATCAACTACAGATGTTCAAAGAATATATAGAGAAATTAAAGGCAGCTGTAGGAGAAGAAAGGACAAATTTTATTCTAGCAAAAAGTATTTTTATTATCAGCATGGGAAGTAACGACATTTCAATAACATATTTTATGACGCCAATCCGGCGGCATAAATATGATATTGCGGAATATACAAGTATGCTGGTCAATACATCTTCTGATTTTGTGAAGGTATCCTTTTGACGTGAACACGTTAAAGTTGATAACAATAGTTGAATTATAGAAAGAATCATATATCAATGCCATGTCCTTTTCAACATTGTTAGTAAGATTTGCTATGCTTTGTTAATCCATTGTATAGTTCAATTCTATGCTTTGTTAATAAATTGTTTTTTTAAATGAAAATGAAAATTAATATAACAGGATATTGATTAAATCATCTTAACCTTATGATATATAACTGCGATTAAATAATCTTTTAAAACGTTTTTTCCATTGGCTAAGATGTTAACATTAACGTCACCATCACTTTTATTAGAATAATTGACATTTTGATAGAGATTTGATATATCTAATGAAAGGAACTTTATCAACTGGGAGCAAGAAGGATCGGAGTAATTGGCTTAACACCGGTAGGATGCGTGCCATTCCAAAGAACAGTAAGAGGAGGAATAGGAAGGAACTGTGTAGAATCAGTAAATCAAGCCGCCATGCTCTACAATTCCAAGCTTTCATCAGCGATTATGGCTCTCAACACAGATTTTACAGATGCTAGGCTTGTCTACATTGAAGCCTATGAAGAATTGAATGAAATTATCCAACACCACAATCAATTTGGTAAATTTGAACACTTTTAAGTTATTTCAGCACAACTAAATCTAATGCATGAAATCTTTGATACGTTATAATATTTGTATTATTATGAAAATATTATTCTAAAGGAGGAAAAAGACAAACAGTTAAATTTCTACATTATAATTCACAAATTCACTCATTGCTTGTGGAACAGGATTTGAAGTGGAGGATAGTGCATGTTGTGGCATTGGAAATGTGGAACTTGGTCCTCTTTGTAATCCTCTCAACTTAAAAGTCTGTGAAGATGCCTCTAAATATGTGTTCTGGGACAGTTATCACCCAACAGAGAGAGCTTACAATATTCTTGTTTCAGAGATTATAAAGAAAAACATTGATAAGTTTGTTTCATAATACTTTCCTTTTTTAAGTGAACAACTTACCCTCGAGCGAACCTAATGCTGAGAAGGGATTATCAATAATATATTGGACCAGCTTATGGATTATTTTCTACCATGAAAGTTCAACCACAGTATCAGAATCTGTTTATCTTGTATTTAATTAATAATGTAGTTAGAATAGACCTCACAATGCTACTTGCAACACTTTCAATTTCGATTAATAAATGTGATCATTCCATAAGAAAATGATATTTAGATGAACTAGGAATAAAAATAAAGTTAAATTAGCTAAAAGATAACTTACCACGACCACTGTGATGAAGAGATTGTTCTCGATGCACACTATTATGTTAGTTTAACTCTTCATTAATTTCTTTTCATACACAAGACTATTAAATTTTTAAAATAACAAAGTCATGGGAGGTCAATTGAAAAGGAAAATTAATATAAAAAATTAGATCACGAATCCGTCATAACTGCTGTTTATTAATTTTCATATCCCAAATAACATTAAATTGTTCAAATAATAAAAATATCAAGAATAAATAGAACAAATCATAACAGTAAAGACCCTCATTCTTAACATAACTACGGTTCATGCGGAAATGACAATTTTATTCTAATTTTGTTTAAGTAAAAATAATTTTTTTAATACAAAAAAATTGTGAAAAAAAAAACAAAAGGAAAGAAAGAGTTAGGAGTGAAGAGGAATTGAAAGAGAAATTGAAAACTCTTTTTAAAAGAGAAATCAAACATACCCTAATAACTATTCAAAATAAAAAAAAACTACAAGTAATTTGTTTAATAAATAAAAAAAGTTTAGGCTTATTTAAAGAAAGTCAAAACACAAGCAGATCAATTTCAAATGAATAGCTATTCTAAGATAGAATAAAAAAATTAAATTTAATTAATTCAATTTATGTACTTTTAGAATAATTACAAAATTATAAAAATGAAACTATTTATTTAAGGAGACACACTGTAGAAAGGAAAAAGAGGAAAGGAAAACTAAAGGAATTTGTTTGATTTATTTTTTATTTTTTATTTTTAAAAATTATATTTTAAAATAATTTTATAAAACTATTTTTAGAAAAATAAAATAATTTTTTTTTGATAATTTAGTTTTTAAAACTATTTTTAGTTAGACTTTTGTTAGTTTTAAAAAAAATAAAAAAAATAAAAAACCTAAATAGTAATTCTGTTTTTCAGTTTTAAAAACTGAAAATAAAAATTAATTTTCAAAAATAATTTTTAAAAATTATATTAACAAGTAAGTTTTTCTATTTTTTAATTTTAAAAACCAAAAACTCTATTTAAAAAGAAAAAATAAACAAACTCCTAAATAACAATTTTATTTTTCAATTTTAAAAACTGAAAATAAAAATTAATTTTTAAAAATAATTTTTAAAACTTATGACTTGTTTGATTTAATTTTGTTTTTCAGTTTTTAAAAATTACATTTTAAAACAATTTTATAAAATTGTTTTTAAGAAGAGAATAAAAATAAAATTTGTTTGGTAATTTAATTTTTAAAACTGTTTTTAAGATAAAAAAAATTAGAAAATCTGTTTGATAAATTTATTTTTAAAAACTAAAAAAAAAAAGTGTTTGATTTTATTTACTTTTTTATTTAGTATTTTAAATTATATATATATATATATTTGAAATTTAATTTTAATATTTTTATTTAATTAAATATATTTTTTATATTTAAAAAAAATATTGAATTGAAAAATTATTAAAATAAAATCATAAGATTGTTCGTGCCACTACTATTGTAGTGTCCGTGACTGGGTCTTGAATTAGATTGGATAAGGATAGGTCGGACAGGGAATCTAATTCCATTTTTAGTTGGAGAAGGGCGGAAGAAAAACCTTGCATACAGACTGATGTAAAGTATATGAGTGCTTCCGCATTTATTCAATATTAGTTAGATTAGTTAGATTGAATAGCTAATTGGCTTTTTTTTTTATTTAATTTATATATTTTATTTATTTAATTTATATATATATATATATAAGTATATATATAAATATAAATAGTTTTTTGTTGATTTAAATAGTTCTATTTTAATAAATATATATATTAATATTTAATATATATTTATTAAAATTTCAAATTTTTTTTGATTCTATTTGATTCGAATGGAAATAGAATCAAATAGAAAATCTTTCTTTTCGGTAACCTCTAGTCAAAGAATTAAATAGGCAGGCTATCCTCCGATTATTTTAGAGAACGAATCAGGAAGACGTGAGGATGCTAAAAGATTATTAGTGTAGTGCAGAAAAATGTGAGAATGTTGTGAAATTTTAACCACTCTATTTACATTTTTTTATTTAATTAATTTATTTACAAGAATGTCATTAATAAAAAACGAGTTTTTCACATTTTGCAAATTTTGCAAGAAAAATCAAAATTTAAAAATAAAAACACCTTGAAAGCTATTCTGTATTTTAATTTTAAAAATTGAAAATAAAAACTTATTTTTGAAAATAATTTTTAAAATTTAAATTAACAAACAAGTTTTGAAGTTTTTAAATTTTAAAAACTGAAAACTCTTTTTAAGAAGGAGAAACAAACAGCCCTTAAGTTTTTCTATTTTTTAATTTTAAAAACTAAAAATTCTATTTAAAAAAAAAACAAACAAACAAGCTCAAATTTTCATTTTAACATTTTAACTTCATTCCGTGAATTAGAATGGATCATTATTACAACACATTTTTATATTTAATTTATATGTATTTTTTTCAATGATATATATAGTTACTCTTTTTAAAAAAAAAATTATCTGATTCTTATTTCTCTTTTGTCCACGTCTAATTCACACCATTGAGATGTAAATTATCACTATCCTTACCATAAGATTCCAATACCCATAATCTTGTTAGGTGGCCATCTCTTTCAGATAAAATATATCCTGAGATTATGTGATGCATTTAATCTTCATTGTTTGAACTTTATTCTTAATAGTATTATTATCATCACTATTTCAACCTAATATTTAACATTAAATAGATTATGTTTTAGTATATTTAATTTAAATTTAAATAATGAGGAAAAAAGAAACTATTTGATGACATCACAGGGGACTCGTTCTCAGCATGAGGTCATGGAAGGAATCACTGAGATGAGCACTGAAGAGCTTCTGAATGCCTTTGTTTTGGAAACATACACAGCATGAAAACACCATCCACTTATCCACTGTAACTTTACCAGCCATCCATGCTTCAGCCACCGCAAAAACTGCCTTTCAATTATTCTAATTTCTAAATGGACATTTCGTTTTATTCTCAAAACTTTTCTTCTAACCAAAGATTGTTACATTTATTCAATTAATATTTTTAATTTTGATATCAAATACCAATGTGAAGAAGTGACCGAAGGATAATTTCTTAATTATAATTTTTTTTACAGTGTATATATTAAATTGTTTGATGAAAAAAATTATTTATTTAACCATATACGAGTGAAGGAAACTTGGTTAGTCAAGTCGACGAATTTTTAATTTTAATATCACTTATTGAAGCAAATGAGACGTAAAAATTTCTATTAATAGCTACAACCAATATAAGACTTTATCATTTATATTTTTTTTATTCAATGTAAAACTTATTTAGTCGTATTTTTTTTAAAAACTAAATAATCTAATTTATCACAATCTTTTTAAAGTTCCATAAATAAGGTTTATCTTTATAATATTAGTATCATTATTATCTTGTTACTCAGTATCACATAAGTAAGGTCTCGAGTTCGAGCACTTGTGTATGTAAAAAATCTTCAATGATAGACTCACTCATCACATTCAAATATGTGACTCAGGTCGAATTCGGATTAAATCAGATGGACAACCCCTTTCTTATCTTTAAGTAGTTTAGATCAATAAGTAAAATTCTACTAAACATGACAGTTTTCTCTATAAATTAACATTTCTGAAAGTTAAAGTAAAAATGTAAAATTAAAATTATATGATGAAACTTTTTATTTTTATATTTCTTCATATGTGTCCTCCTCTTCTATTATATTGATTTATTGTAACACTTATATTATTATCTAAAATTATAAACTATACAATTTTTTACTATTACAGTGTTTAATGATTTAATTTTGGATAACAATAATTACATTGTAACATATATGAAGGTAATTTCAAATCATACGTGAGGGATTTTATTAGAGCAAAATCGACAAGAAGATTTTGCAAAATTCCTTTAGAATATTTTAGTACTTTTAAGGTGCTAACTAAAACTTATTATTATGTCTTTTTGAATAATTAGCTGAAGGTCAAAATATATATCCCATAATTTAGCTTTAAGAGGATAGTAAGCTTAAAAAAAAAAAAAAAAACCACCAAGAAATTGTCCCTCATCATTGCAGATGACGCCGCCATAGCTAGCAAAGCTAGAAGTAAGAGAAACAACATCATTAATATTTAATTTCAGTTGATGTAAGAGAAATAACACCATTAATATTTAGTTTCAATTGACAAGAAGAAGGAAGAATCCATCTAATGAAAATAGTTTTAGATCTGTCCCTGCAGCATACTGAAGGAAGGAATTCTGGAAGATTGTGATATTTTTGTTTTTCTAAAAATGTCATATAACAATACCAAAGAGTCTGATTTAACCTTATCACTGTCATGATTTTGTAGATTATGATGCAACCGAACATAAAAGTAATTACTAAAAAAATAAGCTCAATTTTAAAATAAAATAAGTTTTTTATTATTTAATTTGTATCTTATAAAATATATGATATGATTTTTTATGTTCACTAACAATTAAACTATTACTATATTTTTTATTTTCATTATATCATTCTTACATTTTTTTCTCTTTTCCTATTCCTATTCCTATTCCTTTCTTCCTTAAAAATTTACCTAATTTGATTTATTATTGTTTAGTAATTATATTTTGACACTCATTTTTTTACAATATTTTTTCACCATTTCTTTTTTTTTTCTCTCCCCTTTTCTTTCTAAATCTCACTCATCCCTCCACCTATTCCATATTCCATATATCCATTATTTTATAGAATGTGAAAGTATATTAACTCTTTATTATTTTGTGTGAAAATTTATTGTTTAACATACATACAATATATATATATTAGTAACTCATAAATCAATGTCTACGGTAGTTTAACAGCATTCATGGGGTTGAGACATCACACATTAGATCATCAATAGTAATCAGATACATGCATTATAATTATAACATAAAAAAACATGTGCTTCATCATGGTCCTTAGCATAATCATTCAATTCTCTCTCAAGTGAACATATATATACTCATCCTTATCCAACAATTTTTAACAGTGAACGTTAATGTCACCCCAAAAAAGTAAATGAATAAATAACGAGTTAATTAATTAGTACCTAAGCATGATTGCATGACTAAATAGAAATTTCATTTCACACTTTGGGAGGTGCCCACAAGGCTTTTATCTATCATATTATTATAAAATATGTATATAATGACTTAGTGGGGGAAGAGCTGCCATGTTTTGACCACAAGATCTGGGTTTTGAAGCTTTTACCATCACGTAAAATTAATATTTTTTTTATAGAATATGATATTATTAGTTTAATTGTTAAATTATTTTGTATTATTTTTATAATTATTAGATTATATAGATATGTTATTTAAAATTTATATTTTAAAAAATATTACATATTAAAATAAATAATAAAATGACGTATATTTTTATGTTTAATGAAATCTTATAAAACTAATTTAATTTATAAAAATGTTTAAACCAACAATTAAAATGGTCAATATTATACTGTATACAAAATGTAATATAAATATTTAACTATATAAATTTATTTAGAGGAACTCTTACTCACAAAAATCCAATCGAGAACTTACATTTAATATCATAACGTTATTTTAGACGTTTTAGAAATTATATCTAAGTTTATAACTTTTTGATCATTTAAATTTTTAATTATATATCACAATATAAATATATTTTTATGTCATTTTACATTCATTAATTAGTTTAACAACTAATTTTATTAAATAAATTATTTTAACAATTTTTAACCAACAACACTTGATTAAAAATTCGAATTTTAACTTTCAACTAATTAAAATTGTGACTATTATTGTCAAATAGACCTAATTTCGATATTAATATAGTTGATACTTTAGGTAAGATATATTCTGATTGAAAAAATTATTTATATATATAAAAATCATTTTTATATATATAAATAATTAATACATCATAAATTTATATTTTATTTTAAATTAATATATTTATTTATATAAAAATGATTTTTATTTTTATAATTAAGATAAAAAATAGTAATTATTATTTTAAAAAAAAAAATAAGATAGTGTCATGTATGACTCTGCGGTGGGTGCTGGGCAGCATTATTAGCTCTTGTTAATGATGTTAATTATTATTATACATCGTATTTTCAACTTAGATTAGAACATTCCATGAAAACTGCATCCACTATAAATTCAGTAGCCACTTACGTCTCGGCTGCTGCAATAGCACCTTACAATTCTTATCTAAAAAATTATATTATTTTTATGTCAGAATTTTATTTAAAAAGTTTTTTTTTTTTTAATATTGTATACAAAGTTTTAAAAAGATAAACATAAAATGAGAAATTTTCTAATTAGAAAGGAAAATATTTTTCAAATCAAATGATGCTAAACTTTTCTTCTACATAGAAAGTGTCCTCTGTTTTGTTAGGACTGTGACAAGCTGAGTTAGGTCGAATATAAAAAAAATCATTAAAAATAAATAAAATAAAATGAATTAAATCGGGTTATATTTGGTTTATGTAATAAATATTTAGTTTTGATAAAAAAAATTATTATTTTAAAAATTAATGTTAATATTTTTCATAAATTATTATCCTTAAATTATTTATTAATTAATAATATCTTTAAAAAAATTATTTTCAACTAAAATCAATAACATCTTATAATTTATAAAGAAAAAAGATAGATGCTGGTAGCTTATTAAACTGTGACTTTTTGATCAATTGCATTGAAGGAGGCAATTGTGTCCCCCCCTCTTTTCTTGACTATGAGGTGGGGGTGTTACCATCTCTTGACTTGGTGGTGCCATCTAGACCTGATGCCAACTTTCAGTTGACTCTGGTGCTGTCACCCCTGAATTTCAACACAAGAAAATCAAGTCCATGGCAGCAGAATTAGACACAAGTCAATGATGACAAATCATACATATAGACTTAACTTTTTTATATATAAACTATTACAAAATATTACACACACACACACACACAGAATAGTAAAAAGCTTCTAAATGATTAAGTTAGTTTCCATTAGTATATTAATTATCTAAATAAAATTTGAATTGAGTATATTCTAATAGTATGATTGGTCACCCTAATAAACCAATTTATTTGTATGAAAAATAGATATATATATCCATTGCCTCATATTATTATGATGATGAATGAGATTCTTAACATTAACTTACCATACTTATACTAACAATTCAAATTTTGTTAAACAAAGTATATATAAATGAGAACAAATTAACAACTAATTTTTTTTTATTAATATATGACATTTTTTCAAGAATTACATTATTTGTAATATTATTATTATTTTTCTGTCTTCGTCTATTACTCATCCAATACTCTTATCATCTCTTTCACAGCTATAAAAATTTTGTACAATATAATTATATAAAAATAATTTCACTCTTTCTAATACGTGCAATTCTGTAATTTACCTATGTAATCATTTATATTTACCCTCTAAATGAGTTTTCTGGAACCGCCCCAGTGATAATGATTAAAATAAATGTAGGAAGTGGGAACCATATTTTGAGGTAAAAATCAAACTCATGATTCATGCATGAGATTGCAAAGGGTCAATGGTCTTCTAAAGTCTGAACACTGAACACGGAATTAATGAAAAAAATGTACATAAAGATGACATTTTCAAAATCGTGTGTTTTTAGCGGTAAACATGTTCATACTGCTACGAGGATATGGTGTTGACACCTCAACTAGCAAAGACTCTGACCAATTTACCATTGCAAAATTTGCATGTAAGGGCGGCTAATGAAGACATGGCAAAGCTTAGTTCACAAAGGGTGGCAGTGGAACCACGTCACCACGCACTCATGGCCCTACCAAGAAGAAAGAGAGTGCTTATTATAAATTGCAACATTTGCTCATCCAATTCTTCAAGCTCCACTAGCTAGTGCCCTCTCTTTGTGTATGTTCCTTGTGGTTCCCCTTTATTTACTTCCAAACTTAAGCCTTTGAATTCTCAAGTTTTCATTTAGTTTTCTTCTTTTTCTGAGCTTGTTATCAAAGTAAAAAAGCTTCTTTGGTATGGTTTTTATTGGTTACACTTTTATGTTGTGATGTTTCTAGTTGATCAAGTCTTGGTTTTGGTGTTGTCTCTCTGATTGTAGCATGTTTGGAAACACGTTGAAAAGCATGTAAACGTGGATCTGACGCAGAAAGTACAATTAGTAAAGTTACAGTAAATATGGATCCATGATCATTCAAACATGAATTCAAACACACACGGAATATGCTTTGGTTGAGACTAGAGAGTCTTTTAGAATTTGCCTTGTTTTTCTATTTTAGTGAGAATGTTTGCAATGAACTACATACTACTATATAAGAAGAAATGCTGTGGAAATGGTATTTCTGTCAATTCTGTGCTGAATTTTGAGAATTAGTAGAATCAGTTGAAATAGCTTGAAATCAACTGTAAGCACCGAAATGAAACTAGTTACTTTGTTATCTTGAAGTTCCAAAACAAAAAATTAATGCAGGTTGAACAGCATCCTCCTTGTTGCTGTCATTTATTTCCTGTGGTTTGATTGAGTGACTCAGTCTGTTGATGTTTGTGTAGTTCTCGGATTCACAATCTTGCCACTCTACAGGAAGCCTCATTTGAGTTCAAGTGGCCCCACCAAAAGTTTTCTTATTAAGCATTACAAATTTTTTTTATATATAACTTCCTTGGGAATTTTGTCATTTTTTAAATAATTATTACGCAGTTCTTCAGCCCATGTCAGTCTCAGCTGCTCCAGCACAACCATTGGGGGATCGATTGTGTGAAAATGGATTTGAATGTGTTAAAATTCTCCCTGCCACCAATGATGCTCATGGAGGAGTCATTGTAGACTTAAAGGAGGCTATGGACTCTGATGTTTTTGCTACTTTGCTTAGATCTTCTCTCCTACATTGGAAGCAATTGGTAATTATTTATTGTTATGTTCTATATATAGCTCTAAAATGGTACTTGTTGCATTAAGGGTTGTGAAATAAAGTGCTCACATCAAAATATTTAGCTATTTCCTTTGGATGCATCTCCAATCAGTTGATGAGGTTCTTTGAAAGGATTTCTTGTAAATTTCTTAAAGCTGAAAATATTCAATTTTTATTTTATTAAAATAAAGATGGGTTTTGACGGGCAAAATTTTAATACATAATTTGAGTTTGATGCATGTCTTTGAAACATAAACTACTTTACACAATTGGTCTAATTTTCAAACATAAGGCTTAAGTATGGTCCACTTGACATAGGTAATTTTTTAAGGCATTGTTTAGCCATTTTAAAATTCTAGCCCAACCTATTGAAGGCCTACTTTGAAATAATGAATTTAAATAAGTAAACAAGTCTAGCTTGGTAAGCTAACAAGTCTAATCCTTTATGGAGACAAATGGGTCAAAATCTTTAAATAAGTCAACATATATATAATTTCAAGATTTTATGATAAAAATGAAATACAAAAACAATATATCATTTATATTTAGTTTTTTTGGGGTCAATATATTTACTTCGAAGTAAACACATTAGCTTATTTAATAAATATGCCTAGGCTAGACTGGTCCTCATATATGCTACATTCATGTTACGAATTTTAGGAACATCACTCTACATTTCAAACCTTAATCTGGATAAACATGAGCTTTTTTCTAGTATATAAGCAAATTGTATATAATGCTTACCTAAAATCTAGTAAGCCACTATTAACTTTAGTATGCGTTGTAGGGAAAAGATGGGGTCTGGATCAAGTTACCTATCGAGCTGGTTCATCTAGTTGAAGCTGCAGTTAAGGTAATTTTGCAATATGTTCATTTAAGAGTTTTGTTGTCAATTGTTTAATGCATAGTTCACCATCAGGCATATATCAGATTCTAAAAGAGACAATTTCTATTTCTATTTCATTTTATTTGTTCTCATGTGATGTTGATAACTTGGTCTAAGGACGTTGATGGAACATTGATATTTGTAACTGATAATTTGGTCATAAGTATGCTGTGTTTTTTGTTGCTGGCAGGAGGGTTTTTGGTATCACCATGCTGAGCCAAGCTATCTAATGCTAGTTTATTGGATTCCGAAAACTGGCTGCACAATACCTCCAAATGCTTCCCATCGTGTTGCAGTTGGTGCTATTGTCTTAAATGACAAGAAAGAGGTCTAAAAATAGATCAAAAATGGTCATGTAGATCCACATGTTTTGTTACAAATAACCAACCTTGTTTGGCATTTTGGATTGTATTTCTTTTTCCTCTCTTTTCCTTTTTCTTTATTTGTTCCCTATGTTTGTGGGCATGGTGGACTTGTAGGTTCTTGTAGTTCAGGAAAAAAGAGGTGGATTCCATGGGATTGGTGTCTGGAAGATACCTACTGGAGTAGTTGATGTGGTATGCACACTTTCAAAGGCAAATTCCATTTACTCTTCAAAAAGAAAGCACTTATAATTTGGTTAGAAACATGAAACTTTGTTATCTAACTGCAGGGTGAGGAGATTTTTGAAGCTGCAATTAGAGAAGTAAAAGAAGAGACAGGAGTGAGTATCAGAGTAGTGTGGCATTCCAATATGTTGTAGAATGTCAGCATTATTGTGTTGATAATGACAAGTTTCACTTTGGTCTGTTTTTTACCTTTTCAGATTGACACAGAATTTGTGGAAATACTAGCATTCAGGTATGAATTTTCTAACTCGTGAAACCTATAAAACGAGCGATAGTGAGATACCCTTATTTTGTGCTTATTTATATAAAGGGTAAGGCACCAAGGTTTAATATGCTAATGAAATAAAGAGTCATGTAAATAATTTTTTAAGAGAAATTGCATATAGATCCATGGATTTAGAAGGAAAATTTCCTATTGGCACGCCAAACATAATTAGCTGAGTTAAATTACAGTCTTAATAATTGAAAAAAAAAATCATTAATCTCAAGGGAAAGTGTGTACTGAGGACACTTGCTTTGCTCTTCTCTTCCAATCATTAATTTAGAATCTGGCATTTTAATAAACTTAAGTTTAATAAAGTAATTAAGAGTTTAACATCTCTTGACTTGTCTCTCTTCTTTCTTCCATTTATAATTTTTCTTTTGACATTCTCATGTTTCTGAATTTCAGACACATACACAATTCATTCTTTGGAAAATCAGACCTATCTTTTGTTTGCATGCTGCGTCCTCTCTCTTTTGACATCAAAATGCAAGAACTGGAAATTGAGGCAGCTCAGGTATTTTTGTTTTATGTCACATCATGTCATTCTTTTTTCCTTTTTGGTAAACATCTCAGAAAATGAACCTAATGATGAAATATTTTGTCCTAAAGCTGAACCTAATGATGCATATCAACTTTATCATGTCAATACTAAGTCACCACTCTCAGCAGAGTCCAATTGTGCAAGCACTGCAGAAATCTAAACTTAGAAAAAAAAAAATGCTTATGAGATAATCAACTTGTGAACAATCACTTTGTCATGGACTAAGACTCATTTTGGGTAAAATTTTAAAAAAGTTCTTATAGGAGAAAAAAAATAGTAAAAAAAGTGAATAAAACTTTTTCCATAAGTTAGAAACAATTTGTACTTCTTTATTTTGAAAAGCTCTCTCATTTAACTTCTATAAAATTTGAAGATATAAGTTGTTTTTAACTTACAAGAGAAGTTTTATTCATTTTGTATATTGATTTTTTTCTTCTATAAAAATTTCTTTATAAGTGCACTCAAACTGAGTCTAACTATCCCACAAACTTAAGCTATTAGGTGAAGAAAATACATGAATGATTCTATATTATATTTCTAACGCTCTTTACCTTAATAAAATGATTACTGATTAGTTCACAAACAAATCATATTTATATCTATTCAGTGTGACACATTATATGACCACTATCTACATGATAAACTTCTCCAAGCATTCATTAACCCATAAATCAGCATAATATGATTGTCCTTCAAGATGTCCAAAGAATCGCACAGGAACTAATTATTGGTATCTAATACACATGCATGATAGAGAATATTTTTGGTTCCAAGTTTTTCACATGCATATGCTGGCAATAGAACTAAGATATCTTCAAAAGACACTTGATAGGATGCTGGCATGTTTTTTTTTGCTAGAATTTTTCATATCACTTATTGCTGACTTTCCACACCTTTGCCATATAATCCATTGCTGTTGCATGTTTATCTCATGACACTAGTGTTATTATGACCACCTTTTGCAATCTTTGTTGTTGATACATTCAATTCCCTTGACTAAAGTTTCCCTTGTGCTTTGTCATTTTTCTCATAAAGTGGATGCCATTCGATGAATTTGCTGTTCAACCTTTTAATCAGATGCACGAGCCCTTCAAGTACATAATTGAACTATATTTGGCAAAGGTGGAAAAGGTCTACAATGGATTCTCTCCGCGACCTGTCTCATCATATTTTGTGGAGGAATTGAATTATCTATATTTGAATAGTCATGACCTGGACAAATCTTCCAAGCCAGCCTTGGCCATCCATAGGAGTTGATTTTGATATTAGGGGAGAAAAACTCCATGTGGTACTCTAAAGTTATTTGTGTTTTAGTCCTTTGGGAATTTCAGTCATAAATTAGTCTCTAAAAATTTTCTGTCACCATTTAAGTCCTTCATAAGAACAATGACATTTTAAATTTGAAACTAATTTGGTGGCAATTTTTGAAGAATAATAGTGACATTTTAGATCGTTGAGAAATCAGTAGTGACCAAAATTTTTAGAGGATTAATGTGATGGCACATGTAATTTTAGAAGATCAAATTAAGGATTTTCTCTTGAACGTTTGTAGTTTCTCCACATATCATAATTCCTGTATGTTAGATTTTGAGCAAAACTTATATATTTGAAAGTCTTGGTACCGAAGTTCATCATGATTAATTTTTAAACTAAACTTAAAGATGATATAGGATTGATACAAATCGAAATAAAAACCCTTTTAAACGGGGTAGGAAAAGTAAAAGTGAACAGACAAGGTTGAAACATTTTAACAATTTATCAGCAATTGAGAGTCATGCAAGTTGATTGAGATTATTTTGCTACTTCAATATCATAATGACAAATGTTATGCCATGTGGCATCATATCCGCTATGCAAAAGAAAAAAAAAAAGGTGACAGATCCAAGACCTTATTAGACAGCTAGTGATTATATATCTGAACTTGGGATCTAGAAAACTCCTTTCCTATAAAGCTTTGTAGTCTCGTAAGATCATCAATATTTTTCTAAACCTTTCTCTAGTTTGTAGGGAAAAAAATAGTAATTTAATGGAAAAACAAAAGTTTCTTATGGTTGTGACCCTTTTGTTACCACTGTCCAATTTTGCTTTTGAAGCTTCAAGGGATGTCACCTCATCCTCAAATGCATGTCTAAATTGCTCCAAATGTGAATACCCTTGTGATCAATCCTCATCCCCGCCACCACCACCTTCTGCTTACTATTTATATGGACCACCACCACCACCACCACCACAAGAGAAAGAGCATAGCAAGTGTCCTCCTCCTCCTGCCACCGGTGTTCAGTGTTGCACCCCTCCAGCTCCCTACACTTTAGCTCCTCCTAATCCTTACACTCCTGTGCCTTACGGTGAAGGTCAACGCCACGCTTCAATGCTTTTGCCAGTTCTAGTTCCACTAATGATACTTTTTTCTTCCTTTATTTTTCTCTTCTGAATTGGGTTGCTGTTTATTTATCATCGTCATGTCTAGTACAGCTCATTATCATTTTAAATTTGATATCATATGAAATAATGTCATATCAAGTTTCCAATACCTATGTAAATTATCCTGTAATACTCAACGGTTTGGTGCAGCTCCATTAGAGTTTTGCGTCGGAAAGTTCTTACTCTTCAAAGCTCAATAACAATTTCAGATTGTGTTCGAATAAACAACTTAATTAAACTGTTATTATAAGACAATTTCATAAATTTGATCATTAAAATTATAATTAAATTTAAAATGATTTATTTTAAAAGTTATATTAAAAATTATATTGAAAAAAATAATGCAAATCGTAAGTTATTTTTACGTTTTCTTAAATTTTCTCTCAAAATTAAGACTCTTCAATTTTCATTAATATAGAAGCAAGCAAGCAAGAGGGGTTGAGGGTCCTAGATAGCTTGTGCTTCTTGGTGCTAACAAGAAGTATCTGAGGACAAAAATTTTAACTCAGTAGGTGAATCCGGAGAGTAGGGTAGTAGTTTCTGCTTCTGGGACAAGGGGGGAAGAAACAAGGTCAGGTTGTCCGGAGCTATGCCACCGAATACATTTAATGTTGGACTGGACCACCGATTTCTCAAGAACAATCATGATGTCATGCTAAAGAAAAAGAAGTTTATTCCAAGTGGTGATAAAAATACTTTCTTTGCTAGTTGCTACCAAAAGAATTATCCTCCAAAAAGATGGTCAATTTCACTTTACCCTTGTACCTGCGTAATTGTCTTCTAACAATTAATGTCGTTTTTTCTGTAGTAGTTTTGACTTTTGAAAAGTAATAAAAACTTAATTTTGATAATCTTAATTCTTTAAACATTAACAATTAATTTAAAAATTTACTTTTGCCTACTTAAATTCAGTTTTAAAGTTTATAGTTAATAAAACGTAAAAACTTAATGCTAAACTTACTGGCAGAACATTAACCTTTATAAGAAAATGCATTAGGAATAACTAGAATAAATAAAGTTATTGAAATAGCTTGGAGGTCCCTCAAAAAATTATTTGTACGTCACTTGTAACTAGCACATGCTATTCTTTATTAAAAAGGCGAAAGACATGATAGCAATGCAAAGCCACTTCCATTTTATGTAGTAGTAGCTTTGATGTGATGTGAGGACCCCTGTGAATCTTTGACGCGGGACTTGCAAGGGGAGTAAGGCACCCAAGACCTCTCATTTGTGGCCACCACACTCACTACCATGTTCAGCAAAGAACTTTATTCGCTGGAATTAGTGGCCAAAACTTTCACAAGTTTGAATGTTGGATGTATTGACTCTATGATTAATGCAAGACATTGGTCAAAAACATTCGAGTTTCTGCTTATTTTCAAATAATACATGTAACCGGCTTATGTTAGGTTATCGCGACCACAACAATATTTGAATAAGAACCACTTTATCAACGCAGATCTAAAAACCCATTTTCAAAACAATAAGGCAACACGATCTTTTCCCTTTCTCTCCCTTTCTTTTCCTCTGTTCTCTTTGGTAAAACTTATCATTAAAAATTATCGAAACCCATAAATTTTCGTGAATATATAAATATGTCCATCTGGAACTCATAAATGACTTCGGGAGTTTTTTTTATTTTTTTTCCTTTTTGGTATGGAACTTGTACTCCAACGAAATTGTATTTCTGTATTTGGTTTCGAGAATGATGCTTGATTCTGCAGTTGTGGAATTTCTTTTCAGCCATCAAGAAACAGGCCAAAGGTCAAACAACACGAAATAATCACTAACATAAAGAAAATTATATAATGGAAATGTATATATTTCGCATACACAGTTGTAAGTGTTAGTATTTCCCCACTCTGGCGAGAAATATGATTAATGATTGAAGTTCCCTTAGCCAATTGCAAATTATGACCTTAAAACGGAGAAGAGATTGAGCCTCTTAAAACTACCGTTTAAAATTTTATTTATGGAATAGGGATGTTTAAACTCAATTCTTAAGAATAAATAACTAAAAATAGTAATAGTTTTAAGAGCACTAGTAATAATTGTAATAAAATATAAATTTATTCTAGTTGAGAGATATTATATCTTTCTATAATATCTTCCTAAAATAGGTAACATGCAATTTCCGTTTTGGCTTTACTTTCTTGCTTAGCTTGAAGAAATTGAGAATTTGAAGACCAACAGTATTAGAAGCATTACCAAACAGTGATCATGACAAAACGAACACGGTGAAAGGATCCAGCCTTTGTCCTTGTCAACAACATTAATTTTAATAAGAACAGAACAAATTGTTTTTCAAGTGTGGACAACTTGGAAAGAAACAAATATACAGTAGTAAATTTTTAAAGTCCACAAATATAGTTGTAGGCTTGACTCAACTACTCACATGATTTCATCTAATCCCATATCAAAGCATTATCACAAAACCTAAAAGAGCTCAACTGTAACAAAGTAAGCAATAATTGGAGGAAAATTAATCAAACAAAAACATGAACTTACATCTAGCCATTATCACTGAAGAAAAGTAAACAAATGTTTACATTATAACATTCACAACCGCGTATCAATTTTCCGCTCTCTCACCACCAAAATTACAACATTATAAAATACAATAATAATCAAATCAAAATACACACCAATTTAAACCAAAAAGAAGAAAAAGTAGAAGAAGAAGAAGGAATAGCATTTCTAATTCCACTTATTTTCTAACTTCAACAAAAAAAAAAAACTAAAACTGTTTTTCAAAATAAATTAAAAGCAAAGCCTAGTGTGTTACAGTTACAGTTACAGCAACATAACTCACATCACATCAGTAACGGCAAACCAAAAACCAAGGCCAAAGCCACGATAAAGTTAACGTACCTGGCGCCGTTAGGTTTAACGGCGCCGTTACTGTCGTCGGCGGTATCATCGGCGGCACCATCCGGCGAGTCAGCGGGCGCGTCAGAGCTCGCATCCGCGGCAGGCGCATCAGCAGCCTTCTTCTTTGTCTTCTTCTTGGCCGGCGAGGGAGCGTCGGCGGCTGCAGGCTCCGGCGCCGGAGCAGGTGCGGGAGCCTCAGCCTTAAACAACTCCTTCGGAAGAAGCACCTTGTTAATGGCGAAGATCGCGAGAGGCTGTTCATCAATGAGCGTGTCGGTGATCTTCGCAGTGGTAGATTTGGTCCTAAGCGTGACCTGTTCGCCGTCATTTTGAATGGTGAAATCGAATTTGTTAGCGCCATCGGTGGCGAGAGTGTTCTGCAATCCGTTGTTGGATTTGAGCATTGCAATGGACTGGTACACCGGTACGCCGTGGAATTCGAGGATCGAGACCTTACCGGAAGCGGTTAGGTTTTTGAACTTTGGAAGGAACGATTTGAACGCGTCATCGACGGGGCAGAAAACAGTTAATCCACCGTCGAGGTTGTCGTTGAAGGTCGAGAGAGCGTCGGGGAAAGAAGATAACGTGTCGGCGAAGACTTTGCAACCGTGTTTGGACATAATAGCGGTGAGGTTTTGTTGGCTAGGTGCGGGTGTAGGAGCTTCCGCTGAGGCCGAGGGAAGGATTTTGCTGATCTGAATAACGGAAATGTTGTAAGGAATTTCTTCGACGGATTTGACGAAGTTTGCGGAGAGTGTTCCGCCGTTGTTTTCGGCGCCGAAGCCGACTTTGCCACCGCGGAGGTCGGTGATGTTGACGAAGCCGGAGGATCCCTGCGCAGTGCCGGTGGCTTGGTACATTGTGGCGGCAAGCGCGGTGCCGTTAGTGATTTGGTGGAGTTTTTTGGCGCCGAAGTAGTCGAGGAGGACGTGAAGAGAGAGGATGTTTTTGATGGTGTAGATGGAAGGGTGCTTCGAGAGGAGGTCGTTCATGGCGGCATTGTCAACGGCGCAGACGGTGATGGTGGTTCTGCGGTTGACCTCTGCCGCTAGGTGTGTTAGGGTTAGGTAGTGGTTGAAGGTGGAGAACTCCGGGTGCTTCGCCAGAATGCGCGTGATGTTGTGCGCGCGCGTGTGGGTGAGGAGGAGGAGGAGCGCCGCCGCGAGCGCTGCCAGTGTGGCTGGCCGGAGCGGGTTCATTCTGGAAGGTTCGAAAGAAAGAGAGTGAGATCTGCTGCGACAGAGTACAGTGGCGAGTGAAGTGAAGAAGAGTGAAGAGCTAAGAATGAGGGAACAAACAGGTACAAATAAGAGGGATGAGCGAAATAGGGCCTGGGTTTTGAGATTATTACGGTTTGTGCCATTGTCGAGAAATGAGTTTTTGATCCGTTGCCGTTAATAGTGGCTCCATGTAATATTCAAAGAAAAATTGTATTAATTATTCGTACAAGTTTTTTTATAAAATAAAGTATACAACAAAGGGAAAAATAAAAAATTGATTATAATAAATCAATTATGTGATAGAGAAATATAAAAATATAATTACACTAAATTGATGTAGAAATAGTATAATTTATATATAAAAAATGATTACGAATATAGTCTTGTAGATAATATATGATATTATTTTAAATTAAAATATTACGTTAATTTAAACTTATACTAAAGATATGCTATTAAAATGAAATTTTAATTTAAAAATAAAAATATCATAAAGTATATAAATAAAAAAATTTAAGATTTTTTTTTAATTAAAGAGTATATAAACAATGCACATATATTTTGAGAAAATTGGTAAAGTTAAAGCCGTTTGGAGCACGTGACATGCGTTTCTTGTTCGCAGGAGAAATAATAATAATAATAATAATAAGTTTTGTTGGTAATTAATAGATAATTTGTGTTTACGTCATATTTTCATTTGGTGAAAATTAAACGTTGAAATAATCTACTGGCATCTCACACCAAAGTATGGATTAACATACTATAATTTAAGCCTTCAAAAAGGTATTATACTATGATTTAAGAAAAAATGTTAATTTTAATTTTGAATTTAAGTTACTAATTATATTAATATTTTATTGAAAACATTTATTATATTTTATAATTTAATATGATAAATATTTTTAATAAAAATTTAATTTTTTTAAAATACTTATATTCATTTTGAAAGTTAAAATTAATAAAATTTTATTTAAAGATTTTGTCAAGAAAACGTATTAATTATAAAATAATTTTATTATTTTTTGATTTATGTCATCAGTGTTTGAATGTATTTTAAAATATCAATCTTTCGGACATTAAGTGGGGCATATTTTAAGAAACAAAAACTAAAGTGCAAAGTTATAAAAAGGACTTTTGAAGACTTAGACATAATTTTATCAACCGTTAGTTTTTAAGAAAATATGTTTGAAGTCTACCGACAACAAAAGTTCTTTATACGCTGTCTCTTTGATAGCTTCTGAAAAGGATATATTTGCTTTTAGGTTAATTATTAAAATTTCAATTGTGATGTATTATTTATGTAAAATTATATTTTATATTACTTTATTTATTTTAAAATAATTATAAATTTCGAAATAATCAATTTATTCTTAATTGTGCCCTACTTTTAAGTTACATAATATTTGAAAGTATAAACGAAAAATTTATTTAAAATAATAACAGTGTATATAATTAATTTAAGTAAATAAACCTATAAGAAGGAAAAGGAGTAAAATTTAACGGTAAAAGTATAAATTTAGAAAACTAATTTAAAATAAATTAAATATTTTAAAACTATTCTAATTATAACTAATTTGGCTCTAATTATATAAACTCACTTTCAAGGGTATACCTTATTAAGTGTTAAAGTTTATCAAATATAGAGTTCATCGAATATTCTAATGGTATTAGATAATAACAATAATAATAATAATGTTATAATTATTTATTGTCTGTTAGTTTTTATAGTAAATGTTTGAAGCTATTTAATTCTACAGTATTTATTTTATTTTTGGGGTGTTATATCCATGATGAATGCTTCCATCTATAATCTTAAATAAATATAAATTCCATGATGCATAAAAAAATATATATAAATTTTATGGAAATGAGGTATTTATAAGATACAACGTAGACCCTATCGCAAGCACGGAATCGCATAATCACGCGCTGTAAAGAGGAAAGTTCGCACTTTTGGTGTGCGTTACGTCAAGGGAAAATGATTGAGTACGAGTAAGTGTAGCTTATTGTTGTTTAATCATGCCGTCAAGTTATGCCACGTGGGTCATTGACCAAATGAAACTTGGTCACATATCGCTGCTATCAGCCGTTGATGATGGGAGGGCAGTGATTGTAAATAATGTGAATGAATCGGGGCAATTGTGGAGGACTGGAAGTAGTGTAGTAGAGGTGGTACGAATTCAGGTTAGGGTATTTTTGAACCAGGCTGGCTTGAGCGGTGTAGAGGATGCCACGTGGACGGTGGATGAAGTGGAGCATGTGATGACACTGCTGAAACATGCACCACCGACAATCTCTCTCGTTATTCTGTGCGTTCATTTTCATTCATGGTTTGGTTTTGGTTGGAGGCGTGATTCATGGGTGTGTTTACTCTACATTTACTTGGGGGATTCCCTTGTTCTTTCTTCTTAATAATCCCTAAGTTAAAAGTCTTCATAAAAAAAAAAAAACAATTTAAACATAGAATTCACATATCATGAAGAATTACTATTTTTTAAAATGATTAATATAAATATGTTTATAATATTTTAATTGATTGATAGTGTAACTTTTTTATCATAATAATACACAAAAATTAAACTTCTGAAAAAATAGAAACCGTGCCTTGTGTTTCAAGAAAGGAGAAATTAAACAGGCCATGGTTAAGTTAGGAATATAGTAGCCTTGTATCAAAACACTACACGTCCATGTGTGAAGGTATTCTATGGGAGTTCACTTTTGTGAGATTTTTTTTAATTATATTAAATAAAATCAATCATGAGAACCTATGTATAATTTAATAATCAAAATTAATTTTTCACACGGTTGCTTAGCATGCCTCATAAATAAATGTAAATAAAATTTCACTAGTAGAGTAAGATTCACTCTATTTATATGTTTGTTGAGCAAAGGTGCACGTGACCAAATAATAATATGATAATCGAATTCTTAAGATGGTGGTCAAAGTGAATAAAGTTTTAATACTAATCAAGCTCAGGTTTAATAGTCACTTTTTTTTTATGGTGAATGACATTGGAATGGTCGATAATTAAGACCTTGGTGAATTATAATATTGCATGTATAAATAATTCCATAGAAGGAATAGACAAATGCTAGTAAGATATCATTGCCTATATAAGTCTTGGGCGTTTCATTCCTAGATCTAGTTATAATATAAAGTTTTAGATGGCAAGTTTCTTCTCTCCGTTCATCAACATTCCTTCACAAAAGTATCAGTTTGATTCTTCTAAATTAGATATAATATAATTAGAACATACACTTTGTAATAACAAGCACAAATAATTGAGATTTATCAAGTATTTTACTCATAGTTTATTCATCTTGTTGGATTGCTTTCAAATTTTCCTTTTGGAATTATGTTATATGCACATGTAATATGATTTTGTTGAATTATTATTACTAGCTTATTTTTTTATGTAGATATATGTGAATTTGGTCTAGACTACTACGCGGTTCGAATATTTAAAACATGACTTTTTGTTGTCATGCAAGTGGTAGGGACACTGCAAATGTAATTTTCGAGTTGTTAAATGAACTTTCACCGAAATTATTGAAAATGACCATTGATTTAAATGCTGTAATCCAATTAAGGAATACTGAGTTGTTACTTCAACGTTTGCTGCAACCTAAAACATATTCTAAAGAATAATGGCATCATGTGATATAGGGTGCTGTAAAGGTTCGGAAATTAATTTAAGACTTTACATTTTTGTGTATGGAGTTGTTATGGGTCGCCATTTTTGTCATGTATGGGTAAGAGTGAGAGAGTTATAGCACAAAAATCACAGTGAAAAAAAAAAAACCTTTTGAAGACTACTTGAGAATTTAAGTCCTTGACTATTCTAAGAAAATCAGTACTCAAGATCTTTCTGTCACTGTACCTCATTTACCAATAATCTGTTTATTATTTTAAGACAGAAAAAAATATTATTGTTTATCAATTGTTAGCTGTCTACCAATTGTTATATGGATGTACAAGAAAAAGAAATATTATTATGCATGTCAATCACATATAATATTACCTATAATTTTCAACACCCACGTAAGATAGCCAAAAAAATATCACACCTCACAAATCCTTTGCATTTCAAACTTAAGTCATATACAATTTATGAAGGAATGTTTGGCAGTTTCTCAATGTCTATTCACCAAAATTAAGCCAGACTCTGAAATTCCTGATTTCCAAAGGTATCTAAAAAACTATAAACTTATAAAGAGTTGTTTTATACCATCTTATAAAGAGTTCTTTCTTATCAGAGTTTTGAATTTATTATCTCTTGCAAAATACCCCCTCACCCTTTACACTTACACTAGCCCACTCTAGTGGCTTATATAATACTAGGCATGTAAATGGGAATTCAAAAGAACTAGCCTTATTATTAAATCACGCATCAATAGTGACAAAATAAAATTTATTAAATTATCAAATTTTATTTTCAAATATTACTTTCAACATGTAGTAAATTAATAGTCATATATAAAATTAGTCATCACTTGAACTAGATGGAGACATATGAAAGATTAAAAGCAAAGCATATTAATTGCTAGTGTTGGATTTTGTTAAGAAGTTTGTCTTTATTTTTTCCACCATCTTCTCTTTGACAAGCCTTCTCATTATTTTCCCAGAAGGTGATTTTGGTATGGCTTCCACAAAGTGTACCACTCTCACTTTCTTGTAATGTGCAGCATTGGAAGCAACATAGTTCATGATGTCCTCCTCAGTCTCTCTTGCACCTGGACTCAAAACAACACTTGCAGCTGGGATTTCCCCTGCTTCTTCATCTGGTAATCTGAACAACCATTTTTAATACAACATAAGATTGCAAGGATTAACAATAATTACAAAGATGATGATTGGTTACATACGGCACTACAGCTGCATCTTCAACCGATGAATGTGTCAGCAAAATGGCCTCTAACTCTGCAGGAGCAACCTGCACCACCCAAAAAGACATAACTAATTTTGGACTATAGTTGAGCATATGATCCCTTTGGCTCCACTAATTTGTTCTCACTATAAGATATCCATACTTTCATGACAAATAATTGTATTATACATTTTGACCAAGTTTCTCACCCTTTATTTGTAATGCATGAAAATGTACATATCTCGTTATAATTGTACTCCTTTATATTTTCTAAATAGCGATCTCACACATGTATGTATATATATTCAACACTTAAGTGATTTATGTCATAAATTGTACATATGTCCAAATTTATCATAATTTTATTCTTTTTTTTTTTTCTAAGGGTGCATTTTTCAATAAATTCTTTTTAAATTATGACTTATGTCATAACAACTTATGTTAGTAAGCTATACTGCAAAGCTTATTGAAATGAGTTAAAACAAAGTAATGAGAATCATAAGGTGTTCATAGGCTCTTCCAAATTGGCCTTATCTCGCACAGACATGTATACACACAAGCCCATCAAGTTTCAAGAAATGTTATTCCTGTTCTTTAACATGTGAAAAATAAAGAACTTACTTGGAAGCCTTTGTACTTAATCAACTCTTTGATACGATCAACAATAAATACATTTTCTTCATCATCTATAAATCCTATGTCACCAGTGTGAAGCCATCCATTCTTGTCAATGGTCTGAGCAGTCTCATCCACCTGTTTATAGTAACCTGGAAATGACACATAATGTTATTATTATATTCATTCACTATGCAAGTTATTATAATTTTACACATGGTTTTTGGGCAGCTTGTATCTCCATCACCTTGCATGACACATTGGCTTCTTACACAGAGTTCCCCGGGTGTGTTCCTTGGGAGGGACCGACCAGTGTCAGGATCAACAAACTTGACTTCCAAATTTGGGAGGATGAATCCCACCGAATTTTTACGAGGATCTACCAATCCTTTTTGTGCATGAGTGAGTGTGATGCAGCTATGCTCAGTTAGTCCATATGCCTACCAAAGAAAACTAGCACTTAAAGAACATATATACCCTACTAAATATGCACATTATTTGACACAAAAATTACACAATAAAGTATATTTCATACTGTCCTTTTTCTATAAGATCCTTTCAACTAAATCACACATGTTCAAAAAAAGTTGTATTGATTTTTAAGAAATTAATTATAACATTCCAAGTTTATACTTGGTTAAAGTCAAACTCTATTATTATATTAAGAGTTTTGTTGACCACGTTACCTTTAAGGACATTGGTTAAAAAATTGAAAGTGAATTGAGACCGGAGAGAGTATGATTAATGAACCAACCTCTTGGACAACAACACCAGGGAATTTGTGTTCAAAGGCAGTAAGGAGCTCTGGGGCAAGTGGTGCTGCTGCAGTCATAATGGCCTGGAGTTTTAGCTTGCTGAGGTCAAATTCATCTACTATGGGATTTTTTACCAAGCTGAGAATGATTGGTGGCACAATGGGTGCAAATTTGACCTCATATGTGATCAAGGCATTGAGAAATGTTTTCAACTCAAACCTTCCCATCACCACAACTTTCCCTTTACTCCTAAGAGTGGCACAACATATTCCAGTGATGCCATAAATGTGAAAGAAGGGAATCAAGCCCAGTGTGGTGACCTGACCCACCATTTCTGGCCCAACACCAAAGAGTGTAGAGCAAAGATTAGCCACTAGATTTCTATGAGTAAGCATCACACCCTTTGACATTCCTGTGGTGCCTGATGAGAATGGCATGGCACAAAGGTCATTCTGCTGAATAGGCTCCCTTGTCAAATCATCACCTGCACGGTTTGCTGCTTCAAGCAATTTGTTCCAATTCATAGCTCCTTCCACAATTTCATCTCCCAGCACAATAATAGGTAGCTCTAGACCCTTCACCTATTTTTATACCAACTCATGAAATCTCAAATGCTATAGTTTGACATGCTTAAGACACAATTTGAGTCAGTTTCTGACAAGTACTTATAAGAAAAGCAAATAAAAAATAAAATAAATACTTTTTTCATAAGTTAAAATTAACTTATGTTTAGGTGAAGTTAACTGGCGAAACTTCTAAAAAATATAAAAAAAAATAAGTTGATTTTAATTTATGATAAAAATTATTTATTTTATTTTCTTATTTTTCTTTCCAACAAGTGGTAGCTACAAAGCTTATTATCCAAAGTGGCCTAATTAAGATATACTACAAGAAAAGTATATGAAGCAATTACCTTTTCAAAGTTTGTGATATTTGTGACAATTAATTTGGCATCAGCAGAATCAGCCTGTTTTTTAATTTCTGATGCATGTGATGCTGGATTTGCCCCTGAGAACACTCCACCAGCAGCCATTATTCCCAAAGCAATAATTGCATATTCTACTACATTTGGAAGTACTACGATCACAACATGACCCTTCCTCAGACCAAGTGATCTTAAGGCCTTTGAAAACCTTTGTATGCTCTTCACCACCTCACTATAAGTGATCCCTTTTCCAGTCACAGCATCCACAAATGCAACCTTGTCAGCATATAATTCAGCATTTTGGAGCACAAATTCCGGCAATGTCACATTGTCAGGAACTGGGACAGGTGAGTATTGGCTACGAAAGATGTGTTCCTCCTCAGCTACCAAATTTTCCATGCAGGTTCCCATGTTAGAGTGTGTGTGGATAAGCAGCAATTGACAAGGTTGAACTCAACTCTATGGAGAGATTATATGGACATTTCTTGTCATACTTTTTGCATGATACGAGTTAGCCAAGTTGCAAGTAAAGTAACATTGCCAATTTGTCATGCATGGGTCTTGTGTTGGTGATAATTGGTTGAATCATGTCAGTGACAAAGGCTAACTACAAGATTTCTATAATCGGTTTGGCTATTCCCTTCGAAAAAAGCAGTACATATAAATGGTATCTCTATTCTTGGTGATTGAGCCATTGTATCTTATACCTGAATAACAAATAATAGTTGGTCACACCTGCTACCTATGAAAGTATTCCGGTTTCATATTCGTTTTAGAGATGATTCATTAGCATGAAACTCTATAGCCTTCTCTTAATACTTCCCTTTCTTTTATGCTAAATTAGCATAATTTAGGAATATCCTTTGCTAACACCGAAATGTAACTTTCTCAAGTTTTATCAAAAGTAGTAGGATCTATACAAATCATAAATTAGACGAAAATACTACTTAATAAATTTGTTTGCAGAAAAAAAATTGCCATTTTAAAATATCTAATTAAAAACATATAAAAAATAATATTGTTATTTTTTATTATGAAAAAAAAAACTTTTCAAATTGAAACGAACAACAGTATCGCAACAAAAACAAAAAGGAGACAAGCATAAAAAATTTGATACATTAAAAATAAATAAATTCGCTTTAATATAAAGCGAACTTTTAAATATTCGTGATAATTGATAGTAGAATCCAACCAGATGTAACACTAACAATAAAATATTTATCCATCAATGTGGTAACAAAAACAAATAACTATTCAAAAATGTCGACACAAAAAAAATAATCATATAAAATTACAAAAAATAGCAAAATGCATTTTGCTTCACATCATAGCCAAAGCGACCCAAATGGCCATGCCACCCAAAATATCTGGAGCCCGCAAAATGGAACTTGAACCCGAATCATCTGCAGCCGGACCCGGTGAACTTTCCGGCGAAGAACTCGCTGGCGCAGTTCCCGGCGAGGCGCTGCTCGACGGGAGACTCACTGGTGAATCCGCTGGCGTTGCCGAACTCGAAGGAATTCCAGCAGAAGCCTCTGGTGTAGGAGAAGTAGACGGCACCTCTGTCGCCGTCGGAGCCAAGACCGGACTACTCACCGGAGTCACCGAAGGCGTTGCAGCCGTTGGAGGAGGAGTCGACGGAGATGGAACCGGCGGTGAAGACATGTTGTTGGATGGACTGGAAGCCGGAGAAACCGAAGATGGTGGCTGAACGGCAGGGGACTTCGCCGGAGGGGAAGTCGCCGGCGGTTGTGCAGACCCAGATGGAGAAACCGCCGGAGTTTGTGAAGGCGGCGATAAAGTTGGAGACTTTGCAGGGGACGCCACATGGGACGCCGGAGGAGTCGACAGAGATGGTGGCTTCGCCGGCGGCTGCGTGGATGTTGGCTTGGGTGAAGGAGCAGGAGCATTGTCTGCATAAACTGACGCATAAGATATGAAGAAGAATGCAAACACTAAGAGTGGAAGGAACCTACTCGTCATTTTTGGAGTTTTTGAGGATTCGGAAAAGTACGAGGAAGTGGAAAACTACACTAACAACGTTGAAAAGTTTTTGTGTTTATGCTTGTGTTGTGGTAAAGTATGTTTTTTTGAATTGTTGCTTTGGGGAATATATAGGATCACAGTTTTGGGGTGTGAAGAAACTAAAATGTGACCGTTGCGATGGTTCACCGGATATAGCCAGTAAAATAGCCGTTGAAAGAATGACATCACCTGCTTTGTTTAGATTCTCCTGATTGATATAAAACAATAGTGGAAAAAGTATGGATTTGATCCATATCATTTAATATTTTTTCGTACTTTTTTTTTGGCCCTTTTGATTTGGTGTGAAATTTTCTTTTGGGTTTGTTCCCTCCACCTCATTTAGTGTTTGTATTATTATTATCAGAAAAATGTTTAATATCTGTGAGATAAATAATTAATAATAATAAAATTTCATTAAAAATATATATTTATTATTTTTTTATAACTTTAGTGTAATAAATACATATTTTCATAAAAAAATATTTATAAATACTTAAAACCCTTCTTATTATTATTTGTTTTGGGCCTCACTTGTTTTCTGTGCCTGGTTGTTGTTTTATCCCCATCCCACCCTCTTTACCTTTAGCACATGATTTTTACTTTAGTCATCCTTTTAAGGTGCTAGTTCTATTTTATTTCTCTTTTTCAATTTTTTAAAAAATTATATGATCATTTTAAAAAAATATTAATAATATATTCGTTAGCATACTTTTAAAAATATTTTTTATTAAATAAAATTTATTAAAATAACAAATTTATGGGAGTTTTATTTTTCATTTAACGAAATTCATTCATCATTTCATAATTTTTAATAAATGATAATTTATAATAAAAAATTCATTGCAATCAGTTTTTAGTTTATTTTATTTTGTGGAGGAGCTGTTATGGGATCATCTAATTGAGTTTTGAACCTCCTGTACTCCACACTTAACTAACGGAGATAACATATATATTATATTATTTTAACATTTATTAAATATTTTTAAAACTACAAAATATAATGTAATCTTCTTGTTAGCGACGATAACAATATAGAAAATATAAATTGAGTTTGAACAAAACTAAATTGTATGTCAACGAGAAAAAATCAAATTGAACACCTTTTCTTAGGATATCAAGGGACATAAAGGGGTTAGATTTTTATTAACAGTTGATAATGTTTAATAGATTTTCAATAACATTTTGTAAAGATTCATGCAAATAAATAATCGCATAAAGTTTCCTAACACAAGCTGAGACCCTTAAAAGTTTTTGTGTAAATGATTTGCTAAAGCATGTGAAGAGGTGTACCTCTTATAATGGCTTGAAAGATGTTAGTCTCAGCTAGTGGCTTATATAACATGTAACTTAATTAATAATGTCTACATGTACTACTAGGGCTATCTATATGTCCCAAGTATTCTACTAAAAGAGTAACAACTTGCAAAAGCTACATTTACTTTTCTCAATGTAACTGGTGTTCTTAGAACCTTTGGAGCTCCTATTGTACGTGATTCAAGTGAACTACCAAGGTTTGGATCTATACCAATACATCATTAAAGAAATCATTTACAATTTTGTTAAGAAACTATTTAAACCCTTAATTTATTAAAGCTTGAAATGTGGCTAACATATTAGAGAGCTTGAAGGGCATGACAAGAAATTGATGGTGAGATCATATTGTGCTCTAAATGTAAACTTGTTTATTACTTATGGGTCTGTAGGAACTTAATGCTATCCTCCTATTCATAGATCCAATTGAAAAGGATGTAAGGACTATAAAAGTAGGTAAGAGCTAGATTTTAAATTTAAGAAAAAGATTAAGCACATTTAAGATGAAACTTAGTTTGATTGAACTTATTTTCATATATTTGTAGCGATTTATTTGAATTAAGTAAGTATACATAGCACTTTTGATTGGTATGTTTTAAATTTTAGTAAATGAAAAAGAAAAGGAAAAAAGAATCCATATAACGTGAGTTGGCGTGAACACGAGCTTGGGAAGTTGGTGGTGTGTTCATGAAATGAAACAAAAACAGGGCAGAAACATTTAGTTTAATAAATGTGTTATGTTATGTTATGTTATGTTATGTATGTGACTAAATAAAAAGAGTAGAAAAATTGCACTGAGACACTCACAGCAACGAAATAATAACAAAAGAGGATTACATTAGTTGACGAGTTCTGATATTAGGGTTTGGACCCCTCTGTGTCTTCTCTTCATCTGCACACAACACATGCCCTGGTAAGATCTCTCACACTCTCTCTCTTCCTTCTCGACGCTGCGTTTTGATCCCCACACGTTTCTTCGTCGTTTTTCATCTCCAACAAAACCCTTAAAGAAATCGTTTTTTTTGTTTGTTAAATTGATACTGAAGAAGAGGGGCAAAAACAGAGCGAAGGATGGATGAAGGTGAGGGAGGGTACGGCGAGAGTGGAGATCCCATGGATCAGTTCCACCGTAACGAAGCTATATCCGCAGTTGCTGACGAGGGTTTCTTAGGCGAGGAAGACGACGATTACGAAGACCTCTACAACGATGTGAATGTCGGCGAAGGGTTTCTCCAATCGTTGCGAAAGAATGAGGATTCCGGGTTTCGAAACGACGACGTCGATGAGAAGAAGCCGCAGCAGGCAGCTCAGGATCCGGTTGGGGTTTCGATTCCCGGTGTCGGTGATGGTGGTGACGGTGCGGTTGTGGAGCCTAGGGTTTCTGGGAGGGTTGATGGATTTCAGAATCAGGGGTTTAGAGGGAGTAATCCTAATGGTGGAGGTGGATCGGGGAGTGGGGGTGGGATTAGGGTTGAATTAGGGCAACCATCTGGGAAAATTAGTGAAATTGAGGAGCAGAGTGGTAATGATGGGGGTGCAGTGCAGGGGATTGGGCAGCAACCGCAAGGTGGGGTTGTTGGGAATGTGGGAAATGAGGGATTGGCAAGGCAGGGTCAAGGTGGTGGTGGTGGTGGAGGAGGAGGAGGAGGAGGTGGAGGGGGAAATGTTAATAGGGTTGGTGGAAATGGGGTTGGAAATAGTGTGACTGTTGTTAGTAGTGTTAATACTGGTGGAGGTGGAGGTGGCGTGGCTGCAGGAGGTGGTGGTGGTGGTGGTGGTGCTGCTGCTGCTCCTGGTGGAGGTGGTGGTGGTGGGGGCACTATATTGTTTGTTGGTGATTTGCACTGGTGGACTACGGACGCTGAGCTGGAAGCCGAGCTTTCTAAGTATGGGCCTGTGAAGGAGGTGAAGTTTTTCGATGAGAAGGCGAGTGGGAAATCAAAAGGGTATTGCCAGGTTGAGTTTTATGAAGCTTATGCTGCAACTGCTTGTAAGGAAGGGATGAATGGGCATGTTTTTAATGGGAGGCCGTGCGTTGTTGCGTTTGCGTCGCCCTTTACTGTTAAGAAAATGGGAGAGGCCCAGATAAGTAGGAATCAACAGATGAATCAATCTGCTGTTAACCAGGGAAGGAGGGGGCCCGCTGATGCGGGGGCCAAGCCTGGTGGTAGTAATATTTCGACTGGTGGTAATTACCAAGGAGGGGGGGATGGCAATAGAGGTTATGGTAGAGGAGGTAACTGGGGGAGAGGGAACAATCCTGCGATGGGAAATAGGGGGCCTGTTAATCCAATGAGGAATAGGGGTGGTGGTGGGATGGGTGGGAGAGGTCTAATGGGTAACGGTGGGAATGGATTTGGACAGGGTATTGGTGGTACCCCACCACTGTTGCATCCTCAGTCAATGATGAATCAGGGTTTTGATCCTGCATTTGGCGGTCCCATGGGTAGAATGGGTAGCTATGGAGGCTTTCCTGGTGCTCCAACTCCTCCATTCTCTGGGATTTTACCTTCATTCCCTGGTGTTGGAGGCGTTGGTTTGCCTGGAGTAGCACCTCATGTTAATCCAGCCTTTTTTGGGAGAGGGATGCCTGTGAATGGTATGGGTATGATGCCAACATCAGGTATTGATGGTCCTAACATGGGAATGTGGTCGGATCCAAACATGGGTGGATGGGGTGGCGAGGAGCATGGTGGTGGCAGGGCTGGAGAATCAAGCTATGGCGAGGAAGCTGCATCAGATCATCAGTACGGTGAAGTGAGTCATGACAGAGCAGGGTGGCCTAATGCTATGAGGGAAAAAGATAGAGGATCGGAAAGGGACTGGTCTGGTTCTTCTGAGCGAAGGTATAGGGATGATAGGGATCAAGGATATGAGAGAGATGCACCTAGAGAAAAAGATGCGGGACACGATCATGAATGGTCAGAACGAAGGCATCGGGATGATAGAGAAATGGGCCGAGAACGATCTCGTGACCGTGATCGGGAACGATCTCGAGACCGTGATCGTGACCGTGAAAGGGATCGTGATAGAGACCGTGAGCGGGACAGGTACAGGGAGGATAGAGACAGATATGCAGATCATCATAGGTACAGAGACCGTGAAGCAGAGCATGAGGATGAGTGGGAACGGGGACGGTCGTCAAGGACTCATAGCAAATCACGATTATCACAAGAGGAGGAACACCATTCAAGGCCAAAGGATGCTGATTATGGGAAGAGGAGGAGGCTTACCTCTGAGTAATACTTTCCGTTGATGAAGGAAAGAGCAGTAACTAAAAAAATCAGGATTTGTCATGGTTGTTTGGATTTCTGGTTGTGCTCTCTTGATCCAGAAGTTGTTGAGCAGCTGTTTCGTTTCATTCACTTGTTCCCGTTGCTTCTTGTCAGGAGCATGGCTTTGTTCTCCTATAAGAAAGGTTAGATTTAAAACTTCAATTCTTTGTCTAGTGGTATTATGCTCTCCTGTGCTTTTTATGATTAGTAATGCTACTGCAAGCAAATGAGAAGCTTTTCAATATCTATTTTATATGTTAAATATGAATCAAGTATTGCTTGTAAGTATTACTTTTGAAATTTAAAATTTTGCATTTGGGTAGTTTAAACTGCAGTATTATAGTATTTCGTTTGCTCCTGTCTGCTTTTCTTTATTTTTGTAGTCCTCCTTGCTTAAAATTCTGCTTGCATTTCACTGCTGGGATTTGAATCTTTTTTGACTTCCATAATATGCCCAAGGCTTATGTTCTTATGTTCAAGTTTCTCGTCCATTCTTCATAGGTCTATTTTTCATGTCATACCTGCTCACCGCTGTATAGTTTTTCCTGCTTACGTCTGCTATTGATGCCATGGTTGACATTGAATGAATATGATTATTTTTCCTGTTTCATTGAAGGACTAGCATTTCTACTTGTTAAAGCCATTTGGCTGTTTAACTATTGAGTTCTGGATGAAATGGAATCTGCATGTTGTCTGCTATAAATTTTGCAGTTCTGCAGTCGTCAAAAGTTTAGTGTTGTTGATTAAGCAAACCAAACGAATTTGTAATCTGGAGTCCATCGTGCATGTAATCATTCTGGTTATGCAACTTTTAAATGTGCATACTGTTAACAAGTGTGCTGGCAATTCGATATAATTGTTTCATTTCTCACTTACCCATGTGTTTATAGTGTATTTGGCCAGAAATATTACTCTAATATATGGTAGATCATGATCTGCTTATTGAATTTGTGTTCATATCAAAATCTTATTTTCGGTAAAGTTTGCCAGCAATTTATTACAGTTTTTTTTACCTGACTCACTTCCACTTTTGTTGATATTTTAACTCCGTAAACATAATGCTATTGTTTTTGGTTGATCTACACTCGTTGAAAATATGTGATCATATCAAAATCATCCTTTATTTGTGAGTGAATGTATTTTTTTGGTTTTTTTATTAATGGCTACATATTTTAGTGGAAGAAATTATTATGATTTCTACACAGTCAAGCTTTAAATAATATGTAATGCTATAACATAAATATACTTAAATATACCAAGTGTTTTATAGCTGACTACTTTCTACATGTATACATTTTTAGATATTTGTTTAAAACATACTTTTCATGAGTTGCTCCCCCCAGAAATACATAAGCTGCAAAAGGTTTTTTGGGCATGAACATAAAAAATAGTTTTGTTAACAATAGCCGTTATGGTTGATTTCAAGCATCTAAAGGTAGTAAGATTTTATTGGAACATACAATATTTATTATATTGGAAATACAATATAGTGTAATAAATGTTTTCTTTACCAATAAAATCTTACTATTCTAATTAGTTGCTTAAAACAACTGTTAAGGTTGATATCAGTATTTTCATATTTTTCTCTAAAAAAGGATTGAGAAATGTCTTCATAGTTCATGCTTTGATATTATACATGTATGTAGAAATATTGGGGGATCAAATGCTTGGGTTAGGGCAAATTCCAATTTCTTTTTCTTTTTAATTAATATTTAATATTTTCAAGAAAAAATAATGTTTCATATATTTTTAGGGTTGAAAACAACTGTGTTACAGTTGTCTGAAAAAAATAGGTGGTTTTCTTGTGTTAAAGTATTTTGGTATACTGCCCTACACAAGTAACAAATCTGCTAATGTGATCTATAACTGAATTGAGATTGTTCTATTTTTCCCTTTACATGAAATAAACTCACTATGCTTATTTATATAATGCCTTCTCAATTGCAACCATTATTGTTATCGGCTTTTATGTTATGTAGGGACAATTGTTTTGAGAAACGACGCTGTTCATTCAAACTCTGGATTGCTTTGGGGATCAAGTGCCATCGATATTGAAGAGCCTAGTCATGACAATTCTTTTTACATTGAGAAGTGGAACGTTTGCTATGAAGATATTCACTTTTGATTTGCATTTATGTTTTAGTAATTAGCTCATATGATTAAACCAATGTTGTTTATGTATTGGGTTTAACTTGCTGAAGTCTGAAATGTGGCAGACTGTTTAGAACTTAATGTTTGAATGATTTACTAGGATTTAGCAGAGGATGCTGATAATGTGCCGTTTTTTTATTGGCTCTTTGTTGTATCATTTTTCCCACTTTTCTTTTTGATGTTTTCTCCCTAACATTTTGATAGTTGTATACCGGTCGAGCATGCAAATATTGTGTATGATGTAGAGAGCTAACCATTCAATCACTGTAATCATTCAAAGCTGGGGAATTGTATATTTTCTTGTATATATTTATATTTACTTTTCTTGATAGAGGTACAATTCATCTCCAGTTTTGTTTTGTGATTTTTTCATGTTTATAACTAGGCAATATAGCAGATGAGAATCGGAGGGCATTATTGTGATGATATCTTTTGTCACCCTTATGTCTTGATTACCTAGATTTTTTGGATAGAGTAAAATATATTTAGCAAAAGCCATTTATTATTTTTATTTTCTTAGTTTACTCAGCTTCGTTTACTTTCAAAAACTTGAATTAAATTTTGTATTAGAATCAGATTCCTTTGAAATTGACTGAGTTACTGCTCTTAGGCATATTTTTCCCACTTCGACTTTTAAAGTTGAAAAAATAATAACCTTTTAATTTTTGCCTTTTTGTTCCAACTTTCATGGGATGAATTTTTCTAGAAACCGTTAAAAGGGATCAATTTATGCCTCTACATTGTAGTTGTATCATCTGTTCTGTGATGGTTTTGTTGAATAGCATGCTCATTTAGAGCTTGTATATTATTTAAACCTGATGTTTCGATGTGTAGGATTGGGAACGGTATGATTTGGTGTGTTATTGAAATCAAATGATCTCTGTTATATCTAGTTTTCTATACTAGCGTGAGACTGTCTATTCAATTGCAGGATTCGAGTTGATGACCTGTCCAGGAAAATAATAATTGTAATCCAGGATGATTAATTTCATTAATTCATTTCTTTATGATTGATACATGTGTGTTTTCCAGGTAACAATGCCCCTCATTTGGTTGCTTTAAAAGATTGCTGTTGTTTTGATATCATAATGATAAAACTCAGTTGCCGAGATATAAGTACATGGGCTGGGCAAGCAACTGACCTTTAAAATTTAACCAATAAATTCGAAAGCAAAGAAAGGGAGTGAGGCATTTTATTCAGATGTTAAGTGAAAAATGGACGAAAATAGATAGTTAATAGTGGTTTAAATTGGGCAGATACGGGTAAATGAAAATAACTTATTGATACCTGAAACCGACTGAGATGTTTTTATTCTGAGTTTCTCATCTTACACGCTCATCTTTGGCAACTTGCAATGGCAGTGTGCGGTGGTTGTTACTGCAATGCAAGCTGGGTTGCCGACCTTTTTTATTGCCATTTGAGAGAGTCGTGGTAGCACAGAGCTTCAGATTTGCACATACTAGTTGTATGTGACAGTAGCCATTGTGAGATGTGATTCACTAATGATATGTCACAATCATATAATTTTAAAAATTATATATTAAAAAAAGTCATCCAAAATCCACATTTAGGATGACAAGCTCCAAATGCTTATCATATGTTTTGATCCAAGCTCCATGAATCATGAAAGGATATTTCCAAAGTTGGCAACACCATTGAAATCTCTAAATTCTGAATTGGGATCCCAAAATTCAATCCAACTAAGAAAAACAAAATAGAGAAGATGGAACCATACAAACCAAACTTATGGTAAAAAAAGGTAGCAACAAAGGTGTAAAAGCCTCTGATAAGATCAATGGCGATTCACTTTCAAGAACCCAAGAATTCAACTCACAAACAAGAGAAATCTTCTATTTTTTCATTGTAGGTGTACATGGGTATTTATAATGTTAAAGAAAATCACAAAATAAGCCAAAATGGGCCCAAGTCCACACCCAAGTTAGCCAGCCCCTGACACAATTAATAAAAATAGGCTAAAACCATGCTTAAAGAGACAAATAAGATCATACAACCCCTCGTTACATAGAAACAAACTTAAAAAGAAGTCTCAAACTTATTTAAAAGGTACTAATCATGATTCTTTCCCAATTGAGCCAACTTGGGTTCTCCATTCAAAATTTGCTTAGACTTGACCAAACTTACTGCCACTTTTTCAATGCTACTTTAGCTCTTTTTGTTTTGAAGCAAGTCATAGGCCTTTCCAAGACCCTACAAAGGATCCTCTCCTTTTAAGTCCATCGTCTCTCTTGAATCATGTCATCATATCGGTTGAATATGTCACATCGCAAGTAATTTTAATTTCTAATCAATCTCAAAATGTAGGTTTGGATAAATAATCTTAATTGCTCATTATTGCAGAGAGGTGATTGTCAATATAACAAAAATGACTTAGTAACCAACTCAGTTTCAGTAATTTATAATGCAGATGATCTTTTTTAAATGATACACTGAACAACTGTTGCAAAAGTTAAGAACTGTGTTTCCAATAACTCATTGATCATTAAAATGAAAATCCACTTAAGTAATAATATCTTGTAATGTAATTGTGTACTTTCTAGGCAATAAGTGGAAAGTAAGTCCCTAGTTTTTATCTTTCAACCATTATTGAAATTAGTCTTATTTTAATTTGAAAAAAAAATAACAATTGAACAATGTCCAAAATCCTTCCATGATCAAGTAAGAAATATTTTGGCAAGGCAAATTGTGCTCATTATGACAATGGAATATGCCCACCTCAATTTCAACTTATAATCATGAGCACCATTCTATCTGTATTCTAAATACATGTATGGTTTGATCGTACCTAATATTACATAAATCAGACGATGAAGATGTCATTGTCTTTAACACCCAAAACAGATAAGAAAAAAAATATTAAACAAAATTTAAAATATTAAAAATTATAAGATGACAAATTTATGTAACAATTCTCTTACAATATCTAAATAATAATTCTATTGTTTAAATCATTAAATATGTTGCATTCAAAAAAATATAATTAATTTAATTCAATTTTTTTTTACACAAAGTAAACAAGAATGTCTATCGTGTTCTTGCATCAATTTATTAATATATTATGTTTTAGTAAATTTATATCATTTTTTTATTTATAAAATATATATTTATATAACATATATTTAATTTAAATTATACTCCTTCCGATTCTTTTTATGAGAAATAAAAGACTAAATTATTAGGATTAAGGAAAATAATTAAATCTGTTATATTTTTCATAAATATAAATTTTATTTTAAAAATATTCATATATTAAATAATATATTTAGTAATTTGTATATTTAATGATATTAATAAAAGAAAGGTATAAAAAAATTAATAATTAATAGATCTTAAATTTATCATTTGTTTCTTATAATAAGAAACAAGAGAATGTTCCATTTTATTTTTTATAAAAAAGACTGGAAGGAGTAATATTTAATAAATTTGCAAAATTAAACGGACAAGTTTAAAAAATTCAAACACAGACTAACGTAGCATATTATGCTATAATCTCCCGCTTGAGGACAAATGCTTTCTTGTGTGTTGCATTTAGATGATTCAACAAAGTGATCAAACAGTCGAATATAGATGTGCCAAGCTTTCCATGTGTGTGTAATACCTTCTAATTCTGTGTTTTCATTGCTAAGTTCAGTTTAAGCATATGACAACTAAAGCCTGAGGTCTTTTGTGTTTTTAGATTAAAAAAAGACTCTAAAAATAATATTAATTATTTATATATATTGTTTAAAAAATTTATAAATTAATAATAATAAGCGTAAATATTTTCTTTTATCTAAGAAGATAAGTTCATTATCTTATTGTAGTGCACTTTTCTCTTAATTAGTAGTTATGCTATCATCTTATTATTTGACTTTTGCTTATAAAAAAAATTGACTTTTATTTTTTATTGGTCTTACTCAAAATAAATATATTATTTAATGCGGTAAACATTGAAATAAAGCAAACTCTCCCACATATAAATTTTCATAGATGTCAATTACCTGTTATACATATAATGTTTATGAAATAATGTCAATAATTAATGTTATTTTAGCATGAATAAATTTCTTAAATATAAAATAAAAAAATTATTACTTAACATCAATAATGTCTCAAAAAATTAATAAATTGATTTTAATACAAAAAATAATTATTATTATAATTATAATAATTTAATAAGTATTTTGTATCTTAAAAGTGCTGAAAAATGAATGTGAAGTAAAATAATTATAATTTTAGTATATTGTTTTAATTAATTTTGAAAAGGCCTATTTTAAAATCCACTTTATGTTTAAATATAAGTTGAGTTGATCCACTTTTATACCAAGGTGTCGTGTGTTTAATTTTGTAAGTGGTGCATATTCAACATGCTACATATTGTCCATGTAACATGTATCATGCCCCAAGTATGGCACCCTTTCAAGAAAAATACTTTTTAAAACTATGTTATCATAATTAAAAAAAAACAATTACACAACACATTTGTCAAACATTAAAGAATTCAAATTTGCTGAACTTCAAATAAATGACAACGTTATTCATTGGACAACATAAGTATAATGCCATAAATATTTTTATCATTTTTCATAATAATAAATTTCTTTAATGACCCGCATATCAAATTTTAACATTAAATGAAGAATAATATAAAACGTACTTATATCTCAGCTACTGAGTTTCATCATCATGATATCAAAACAACAGCAATCTTTAAAACAACCGAACAAGTAGCATTTTTACCAGGAAAACAAATTTGTATTACAATTATTTTACCGAACAGGCATCATCAACTCGAATGCTGCTATTGAATAGACAGCCTCAAGCAAGTGTAGAAAACTAGAAAGAAAAGAGATTATCTGATTTCAATAACACCAAATCATAACATTCGTAGTCCTACACACGGAAACATCAGGTTTAAATAATATACAAGCTCTGAATGAGCATGCTGCTTAACAAAACCATCATATAACAGAGTAAAACTACAATGTAGAGGCATATAATAAGAAGGAAAAATATAATAAGAGGATCATGTTTTTCGACTAAAAAAAGAATCGAAGAGGGAAAAAATATGCCTAAGCAGTAACGGACCGGTTCATTTCAAAGGATTCTGATTTTAATAAAAATTTAATTCCAAATTTTTGAAGTAAACAGAGGCCGAGTAAAAAAAGAAAACAAAATAATAAATTATTTTTGCTTAATATATTTTAAACTATCCAAAAAACTAGGCAATCAAGACATAACAAGGCTGACAAAAGATATCATCACAATAAAACCCTCCGATTCTCATCTGCTAGATTGCCTAGTTATAAACATGAAAGATCAGAAAACAAAACTGGAGATTAATTGTACCTTTATCAAGAAAATTAAATATCAATATATACAAGAAAATATACAATTCTCCAGCTTTGAATGATTACAGTGATTGAATGGTTAGCTCTCTACATCATACACAATATTTGCATGCTCGACCGGTATACTACTAACAAAATGTTAGGGAGAAAACACCAAAAACAAAAGTGGGAAAAAATGATACAACAAAGAGCCAATAAAAAAACGGCACATTATCAGCATCCTCTGCTAAATCCTAGTAAATCATTCAAACATTAAGTTCTAAACAGTCTGCACATTTCAGACTTCAGCAAGTTAAACCCAATACATCAACAACATTGGTTTAATCATGAGCTAATTACTAAAACATAAATGCAAATCAAAAGTGAATATCTTCATAGCAAACGTTCCACTTCTCAATGTATAAAGAATTGTCATGACTTGGCTCTTCAATATTGATGGCACTTGATCCCCAAAGCAATCTAGAGTTTGAATGAGCAGCTTCCTTTCTCAAAACAATTGTCCCCTACGTAACATAAAAGCCGATAACAATAATAGTTGCAATTCAGAAGCCATTAATATAAATAAGCACAGTGATTTTATTTCATGTATAGGGAAAAATAGAACCATCTCAATTCAGTTATAGAGCACATTAGCAGATTTGGTAGTTTTGTAGGGCAGTATACCAAAATATTTCAACAACTCAAGCAAAATGCAACATTAATTTTTCTTGAAAATATTTAATATTAATTAAAAAAGAAAAAAATATAGGAATGGCCCTAATCCAAGCTAGGTTGTCAAATGGCAGCCATGGCAGATGTCAGTGGCAGTTTTCGCCCAAACTGCCACAATCATGGCGGACTCTGGATGGCAGGCCATGGTGGCCTTAATGTGCCTGACGGCCATGGCATAAAATGTCAGATTTCAAGGAAAAAATTAAACTGGGACTCTGACTTGACCCAGTCCAAAGTGACCAGTGAAAAGAAAAACCCTAAACCTAGGTTGTGAAAAGCGCTGCAATGGTGGTGTCACGTTGTGTCATAGCGGTCAGCCATTATTTCAAGTTTCTTGAGTTGCATTGCGTTTCATTTTGCAGCCATCATGGACACTAGCAGTGGAAATCAAGGAATTTTGCACACTTCTTGACCTCTACCGGTGATTATTTTAAAACCACAAAAATGTCCTGAATTTTGCTCCCTTTTTTCTCCGACCCTTTAGTATTGTGTCACCCATCAACCTGCTACCCTCCAGTGACTTTCCAGTGAATTGCTGGTGATTTCCAGCCAATTTTTGGCAAACCACTGTTCTGTGACCCGTGTTCTGCATTTTCTACCAAGTGCTCTGCTTTTCTCCTTGTTTTGCTATTTTTTGACAAGTTGTTATCTCATTGTCCTTTTCTTTTTTTGTTCTTATCTTTTTCTGTTTAATTGGTTTCATTTTCCAGCTATTTTGTTCATTAATTATTTATTGTCCAAATCTATCCTCATTCAATTCTAATTTTAGTAGGTTTTTAATGCTTTGTTACTTTAAAGGCATTGAGTTAGAAGCTTAAACTTGTTTATTTCCTTGAATTTTGTTGTTATATACTTATATTTATTGTATAAACCTATTTATTTCAACTTTCCTTGACATTCCTTCTCATCTGCCATATTTTTATGGCAGTTTTTTGGCTGTCCGCCATTGATAACATTGAACCCAAGCATTTGATCCTCCAATATTTCTATACTGTAAGACACATCAAAAAGCATGAACTATGAAGACATTTCTCAATCCTTTTTAAGAGGAAAATACTAACATCAACCCTTAAAGTTGTTTTAAGAACCTATTTATAACACTACTGTATATCATAAATATTTTATGTTCCAGAAAAATCTTATACCTTTAGATGCTTAAGATCAACTGTACGGGTAGAGGTTAATAAATCTACCTTTTATGTTCACGTCAAAAAAAATTCTTGTGCAGCTTATGTATTTCTGGAGGGAGCAACTCTTGGTATATATAAGTTTGAGGTAAAAAAAAACAACACAAGGTTTATGACATCAAGAAAGTTATAAAAGTAGATATTATTTAAAGCTCAATTGTGTTTATACATTTTATACTTACCTCAAAATGATAATTTCTTCCACTAATAAAATGCAGTCATTCATTCAAGGAAACCAAAAAAATACATTCACTCACAAATATAGGATTTTGATATGATCACATATATCCAACAAGTGTCGATCTACCAAAAATAATAGCATTATGTTTCTAGAATTAAAATATCAACAAAGACGAAGTGAGTCAGGTGTAAAAACTATATTAAATTGCTGGTAAACTTTACCAAAAATAAGATTTTTATATGATCACAAATTCAATAAGTAGATCAGGATCTACCATATGTTAATATTTCTACACATTTACACTGTAAAACAAATGGGTAAGTGACAAATGAAACAACTATAACAAATTGCAAGCACACTCATTACCAGCATGCACATTTAGAAGCTGCATATGCTTAATCAACAAAACTATACTTTTGACAACTGCTGAACTGCATAATTTGCAGCAGACAACATGCAGATTCCATTTCATTCAGAATTCAATAGTCAAACAGCCAAATGGTTTTAACAAGCATGCTAATCCTTCAATGAAACAGGAAAAATAAGCATACTCATTCTATGTCCCATGGCATCAATAGCAGAGGTAACAAGGAAAAACCATCCAGCCTCACACAGTGATGGAGGTAGATTGTCTTGCCAGAAAATTTCTGTCACGTCAAAAATAGCTTGGGTTTCCTCAGAGATGAAGACGACAACTGGAAAACATCTCTGGTCACATAAAAAATAAGTTGTGTTTTGCCAGAGATGAAGAAAACGACTGGAACTTCACTGGAAAGGATGACTTGCACCAGAAAGTGAGGCCAGAGATGGAAGACAAAGCAAGAGAAAGAGAGATGGAGGCAGGGTTTGATATCAACTTGCAAAGACATAAGAGAACCACAAAGCATCACAATGTTTGTTTTTTTTTTTTTTTTTTTTTTTGGGGGGGGGGGGGGGGGGCGCAGAGAGAGAATCCCAAGATTGTCCCCCACAAAAACATTACAGCTTTCAGAAAGGGAGGACGAAACCCCAGAATCGTGGCAGGGAGCTGCTCCGCTCCTCTCTGCCCCAATCGCTCCCGCTATTGACTAATATGCTTACAAGTAATACTTAATTCACTTTTAACATACAAAATAGATTTTGAAAAGTTTCTCATTTGCTGGCAGTAGCATTACTAATCATAAAAAGCACAGGAGAGCATAATACCACTAGACAAAGAATTGAAGTTTTAAATCTAACCTTTCTTATAGGAGAACAAAGCCATGCTCCTGACAAGAAGCAACGGGAACAAGTGAATGAAACGAAACAGCTGCTCAACAACTTCTGGATCAAGAGAGCACAACCAGAAATCCAAACAACCATGACAAATCCTGATTTTTTTAGTTACTGCTCTTTCCTTCATCAACGGAAAGTATTACTCAGAGGTAAGCCTCCTCCTCTTCCCATAATCAGCATCCTTTGGCCTTGAATGGTGTTCCTCCTCTTGTGATAATCGTGATTTGCTATGAGTCCTTGACGACCGTCCCCGTTCCCACTCATCCTCATGCTCTGCTTCACGGTCTCTGTACCTATGATGATCTGCATATCTGTCTCTATCCTCCCTGTACCTGTCCCGCTCACGGTCTCTATCACGATCCCTTTCACGGTCACGATCACGGTCTCGAGATCGTTCCCGATCACGGTCACGAGATCGTTCTCGGCCCATTTCTCTATCATCCCGATGCCTTCGTTCTGACCATTCATGATCGTGTCCCGCATCTTTTTCTCTAGGTGCATCTCTCTCATATCCTTGATCCCTATCATCCCTATACCTTCGCTCAGAAGAACCAGACCAGTCCCTTTCCGATCCTCTATCTTTTTCCCTCATAGCATTAGGCCACCCTGCTCTGTCATGACTCACTTCACCGTACTGATGATCTGATGCAGCTTCCTCGCCATAGCTTGATTCTCCAGCCCTGCCACCACCATGCTCCTCGCCACCCCATCCACCCATGTTTGGATCCGACCACATTCCCATGTTAGGACCATCAATACCTGATGTTGGCATCATACCCATACCATTCACAGGCATCCCTCTCCCAAAAAAGGCTGGATTAACATGAGGTGCTACTCCAGGCAAACCAACGCCTCCAACACCAGGGAATGAAGGTAAAATCCCAGAGAATGGAGGAGTTGGAGCACCAGGAAAGCCTCCATAGCTACCCATTCTACCCATGGGACCGCCAAATGCAGGATCAAAACCCTGATTCATCATTGACTGAGGATGCAACAGTGGTGGGGTACCACCAATACCCTGTCCAAATCCATTCCCACCGTTACCCATTAGACCTCTCCCACCCATCCCACCACCACCCCTATTCCTCATTGGATTAACAGGCCCCCTATTTCCCATCGCAGGATTGTTCCCTCTCCCCCAGTTACCTCCTCTACCATAACCTCTATTGCCATCCCCCCCTCCTTGGTAATTACCACCAGTCGAAATATTACTACCACCAGGCTTGGCCCCCGCATCAGCGGGCCCCCTCCTTCCCTGGTTAACAGCAGATTGATTCATCTGTTGATTCCTACTTATCTGGGCCTCTCCCATTTTCTTAACAGTAAAGGGCGACGCAAACGCAACAACGCACGGCCTCCCATTAAAAACATGCCCATTCATCCCTTCCTTACAAGCAGTTGCAGCATAAGCTTCATAAAACTCAACCTGGCAATACCCTTTTGATTTCCCACTCGCCTTCTCATCGAAAAACTTCACCTCCTTCACAGGCCCATACTTAGAAAGCTCGGCTTCCAGCTCAGCGTCCGTAGTCCACCAGTGCAAATCACCAACAAACAATATAGTGCCCCCACCACCACCACCTCCACCAGGAGCAGCAGCACCACCACCACCACCACCACCACCTCCTGCAGCCACGCCACCTCCACCTCCACCAGTATTAACACTACTAACAACAGTCACACTATTTCCAACCCCATTTCCACCAACCCTATTAACATTTCCCCCTCCACCTCCTCCTCCTCCTCCTCCACCACCACCACCACCTTGACCCTGCCTTGCCAATCCCTCATTTCCCACATTCCCAACAACCCCACCTTGCGGTTGCTGCCCAATCCCCTGCACTGCACCCCCATCATTACCACTCTGCTCCTCAATTTCACTAATTTTCCCAGATGGTTGCCCTAATTCAACCCTAATCCCACCCCCACTCCCCGATCCACCTCCACCATTAGGATTACTCCCTCTAAACCCCTGATTCTGAAATCCATCAACCCTCCCAGAAACCCTAGGCTCCACAACCGCACCGTCACCACCATCACCGACACCGGGAATCGAAACCCCAACCGGATCCTGAGCTGCCTGCTGCGGCTTCTTCTCATCGACGTCGTCGTTTCGAAACCCGGAATCCTCATTCTTTCGCAACGATTGGAGAAACCCTTCGCCGACATTCACATCGTTGTAGAGGTCTTCGTAATCGTCGTCTTCCTCGCCTAAGAAACCCTCGTCAGCAACTGCGGATATAGCTTCGTTACGGTGGAACTGATCCATGGGATCTCCACTCTCGCCGTACCCTCCCTCACCTTCATCCATCCTTCGCTCTGTTTTTGCCCCTCTTCTTCAGTATCAATTTAACAAACAAAAAAAACGATTTCTTTAAGGGTTTTGTTGGAGATGAAAAACGACGAAGAAACGTGTGGGGATCAAAACGCAGCGTCGAGAAGGAAGAGAGAGAGTGTGAGAGATCTTACCAGGGCATGTGTTGTGTGCAGATGAAGAGAAGACACAGAGGGGTCCAAACCCTAATATCAGAACTCGTCAACTAATGTAATCCTCTTTTGTTATTATTTCGTTGCTGTGAGTGTCTCAGTGCAATTTTTCTACTCTTTTTATTTAGTCACATACATAACATAACATAACATAACATAACACATTTATTAAACTAAATGTTTCTGCCCTGTTTTTGTTTCATTTCATGAACACACCACCAACTTCCCAAGCTCGTGTTCACGCCAACTCACGTTATATGGATTCTTTTTTCCTTTTCTTTTTCATTTACTAAAATTTAAAACATACCAATCAAAAGTGCTATGTATACTTACTTAATTCAAATAAATCGCTACAAATATATGAAAATAAGTTCAATCAAACTAAGTTTCATCTTAAATGTGCTTAATCTTTTTCTTAAATTTAAAATCTAGCTCTTACCTACTTGTATATGAAAATCGTTAGTTTACTAATAAAATACTTCAAATATGAGATTAAAAAAACAAATATGTCTTTACGCATTTTTATTTTTCCTTTCTATTTCTTTTTTTTAACCTTTTATTACGCGAGAATGAAAATAACTTCAATCAGACAAAGTTTAATTTAATTGAAAATGGAATATACTCAATATAAAATGTTGGAAAAAATTACAAAAATCTGATAAAAATGATATATAAACTTAGTTAATTCAAATGAATTAGTAGTAATAATAATTCTGAGCGTTAATGATCTAATTTAATTGCATGATAAAAATTATTATTACTTGATATATTTATATTTTTCATTTAATTTATGTAAAAGTTTAGTCCTTTAAATTTGTTTAGAGCTTATTAAGTTTCTCTATAAATTTATCTTCTAATTACTTTTTTTACTTAAAAACCCTCAATTATTTATTTTGTATTTAACTTTTTTAGAGAATTTGTAAAGATTTAGAATATAAAAAGATTCCAAAAGTTCAAAAATAAAAAATTAATAAGCAATTGATAAAAGTTAAAGGATTTTATAAGATGTGATTAGAATTTCAAGAGGAAAAACTTTAAGTTTTTTTTATTTAAAAAAAGGTAATTTTTGATATTTAGGTTGATTAATTTTGATTAAATGACAATTTAATAAATTCAACTTTGTAAAATTAAGTAAAAAAAGAGAGAGAGAGAATTTAGAAGTTTTAAGTAGAAGTAAATGAATAAAGAACTAGAGCAGCACAATTTTAATAATGGAGAGACTTAATTAGTTTTAAAAAAATAGAAGACCAAATCTTATATAATCTAAATAAGAACAACAATAAATGTAATTGAACTTTATAAATTTAATGAATGAATAAAATTTACAACCTACTACCCTAAAAAATTGGTCATATTTAAGTTATGTTTGATATTTACAATTCAGTCATTTAGTAAAAAAAAATTGGCAACAACAATAGTTCCATTGAATTTTATAAAGGATTTAAAGTTATGTTTGGAGTTCAAAAACACAATGAAAGGTTGTGCACAATTTTTGCTAAAAGCTAACAAAATAAAAATATGGTTTGATTTCCAATACCTGTCAAAGTTATTTGCATGAATCTCTACAAAATGTTACTAGGAATCTTAAATGGGCATTATCAAGTGTTCAAAATTTTCACTCCCCTCCCCTCTCCTTCTATATCTAGAAGGTGGTCAATTTGCTGTTTTTTTTCTTTTTTTCATTGACTTGAGATTTATTTTTATTCAAACTCTACTCATCTTTTGTATTTTCATTATTTACTAGAAAGAGAAATACATTGTAATTTTGTTAGTTTTAAATTTATTCAAACAAATATTAAAACAATATCATAATTGTTACGTGTAAAAATGAAGTTCAAAACTTAGTTAGATGTTCTTTTAATAACTTGTCACCTAAAATCATAATCGGGTTAATAAAATATTCTTTATTATAAATTGACATGTATTAAAAATCATGAAATCATAAGTAAATTTTGTTAAGTATAAAATAAAATTTACATAATTTTATTGTTCTTAATAAATTTTAATTAACAATAAAAAATATTATCTATATTTTTTTAAGGGAGTAATACAATTTAGAACAAAATTAAAATATCTAAAAGAATGAAATTCAATTGTAATATCTTCTGATTTAGGGTCAAATATTTGAATAGATCAAAATATACTTAGTACTACTATCATTTAAAATTTGCTACGAGGAGAGAATTTATGGAGTTCACCACTAACGGCGACAATTATATTCATCATTCAACCCATCTTAAATTCAATTCTAACTCACAACACCAATGGTTACATAAACATTTTTCTATTATTTGATAATTTTGGATGCACTTATGTATCTAAATGATTACAATATTAGAAGTACATAATGACAAATTTATCTTAGTCAACGATGTCTATATATAATAAAAGAATCTTTGGCCTATACATGCTATCTATGGGTATTGAAGTGTTTCTTATAAGAATATCATTATTTAGAAATCATTAGAACATTGCGAACCATTGTTACCAATATTTATGCACTCTCAAACCCTAATACTAAAGTAAAACCATGTGCTTGACAAGAGTGGAGTTGCATTTAGAACATGGTTGAGTTGCAAAGTGTTGTTGGGGTTGGAGGATAGACCATATGGAACCATGCTTAGGGCATCTTTATGTTTAGGGAAAAATAACAATCATATCTCTCTTAACTAAAGTTCAAAGCTAAAAAAAATAAAATATTAATATCAACTTTTAAGATTAAATTTTAAAAATAATTAACAGTATATATGTTATTAAAAAGATTTGTACTTAATTATGTTCTTGTTTCCTATAAGAATAATATCTTTGAAGATTAGTTTTTAAAAAAATTTGTTGAGATTTAGTCCTTGAGATTTTTAAAATATAAAAATTTAGTTATTATCATTAACTAAATTTTAATTCACTACTGCTACATCGTTATTTTTTTAATATTTTATTATTTAAATATTAATATTTTTTAAAAAAATCTACTTCCATCTTGTTCAACTTTTTCCCTATCTTTAAAATTGTTGAACATCCTTAACCTCATTCACAATCTACAAAAATTAGGGGCTCCAATTAAAGAAAATGATTTTACCTAACAATAATAGAGATTAGTGAAATAAAACGTTATTCTTGGTATTTTTTTTATGTGTTTTTTTCCTCTATTAGTTTTTTTTTTTTTGAGTATTTTTTTATTCTCTTAAATTTGTATTTCAAATGATAAAACTCAAATCTGGCTTCAAACATCAGATGGTTCAATCCAACAAGTGGAACACAAAATTGCAATGTTTGGCCCTCTGATTTGTCAAGAAATAATACAAAAAGGTACGGGATCTTCTAAGAATTGTGCAAACATTTTCATTAAAAGCCTAATTCATTCAATTTTTCATAACATGATTACTTCTCAAATTTAAATTAAGAAACAACAAATTTACAGCATTAGCAAATGGCAAGTTTCTTTCCATATTAATGGTTTAGCTCTCAAGAAGAAGTGCGCAATGAAAACCAGTACATCAAGATCTGCACCTACTCCAACTTTATTTAATTCAACGTGGTGCCTCACTGCCTTTTTTAAAAAAACTCTTGCACGGTTTATGCAATTGTCATTAAATGGTTGCATCATTTGGAATGAAGGTAACTTGAAATGTCTAAACATCCGAATTTTTGGTGGTTGATATTTACTGCATTAATGGTGTTTATTGGATATATCTACGAGCATAAGTATTTGTTAATAGACACGGAGACATGACACTCCAATTGCTAAAGCCAGAGGACATAAAGGAAGAACCTACCAACACAATTCCCAACGTCAAAGGTACGTAGGTAGGTATAAATCTCATGCATCGATCAATCCAATTATTTGATACCTAATCTCTATATGTAGCAATTTGCTTCATATTGTTACAGGTTCTTGCATACTCTTTCTTCATCTTTGTACAATTCAGCTCCTCTAAGTTTCTGCATTGGCGTTTAATGATATATAATACACGAAGGGGGTGGGATTAGGTTTCTTGTTATTCTTAATCACTATCGAACCAGATACTCTCTATAAAGGGCAAAGAAACAAGGAGCAAGCAATCTCTAGTTTCACCTGCTTATGACATCTCTTTCCTAGTTTTCTAAAATATTATCATACCATCTAAGTAATATGGTTATTTTTGGTAAGATCATTCCAGTATGTTTGTTACCCAACACAAATAGAAGTAACATTAATTTTGACACAACCGTCCAATGATTCGTTCTTTACCAACGTTTCGACGAAAAATTAAGAATTTAAAATGAGATAGAGATAGCCCTAACATTATACGGAGAGGAAAAGATTGCCCACATCTTCCTCTTCATGAACAAACACCAACACATGAATCATGGCATCACTTCCTTTATCAAAGCACTAAGAATCTAATTGATGTACATAAACAATAGCACTATTTATATGAGACGACAGTTAAATCAGTTTCAGATTGTTGGCCTTACCTTAGGAGTGTCATACTATACATATCGAGAATCAATCGGCAATGATATCATCAGAATACAAATTCCCAAACCAATTCTCTCAGTATTATTACTAATTCGCTAATCCTCACTACAAATCTTGCATTTTTATTTTTTTTTATATATAAATTATGAATAATAACATCCACCAAATAAAACCGGGTCACACCACAGGCCATCTATCTGGGCCTACCCGCATTAGATCCGGCCCCAGGATAACCAGGCCCACCCTTAATAGCAGCGGCGCCACCAGCCACTTGATGGAACCCACCAGAACCGTACACGTGTCCCTGATGCATAATGATTCCACCACCATAACTACTACTCTCGAAAGTACTGTTGTTAGCATTAAGAGCAGGAGGCGCGTCTTTATCACGCGCCGCCACGCTCTTCTCTCCTTCCATCTCCCTGAAGCGCTGGAGGTAACCCTTGAGTGGCTCCACGTAGTCCTCGAAGCCGAGAGTGGTCATCGCCCACAGCAAATCGTCGCCGTTGATGGTTTTGCGCTTCTCGCGTTGGCACTTGTCGGAGGCTTCGCCGGTGATGAAGCTTATGAACTCTGACACGCACTCCTGCACCGTCTCCTTCGCATCCTTCGAGATCTTCGCGTTCGCCGGCAAAGCCTTCTTCATGATCCTGCTCACGTTCGCTATCGGCAGAAACCGGTCCTGTTCCCGCGGCGACATCTCGCTTCCCTGAGCATTCGCTCCGCCGGCGTTATTCGCACCGCCGGAATCGTTGTCAGAGTCCGCCATCGACACACGGCGAGGTTTCGCGTAAAATTGAAACGCTGTTTTGGAGAGGAAAATGAGAAACGATGAAACTTCTCCGAACCGCGAAGTCAGTATTTGAAAATATCAGAGTTCGCCATGGACGAGTCGCGAACTGAACTTGAATCGCTTTGACTCGGTTGCGCGTGAAATTGAAGCGCTTTTCGCAGAGGAAACTCAGTGCTTGGCGCGGTTCTCTTCAAAATTTCAAATTCGAATTGGAATGAATGAGAAATTGAGGTCCGAGTCACGAACTCGGCACGAATCGGTTCGACTCAGTGGTGGTTCTGCGTGAAATTGAAGCGCTGTTGAAACGAAATTGTCGAAGCCTGAAAACACTGACTCGTGCAATTGTGTTTGGAACTCAAATTCGACTAATCACAGGGTCGGATACGGTGGCCGGCGGCGAGTGACGGTGGCTCCGGCGAGGAGGGGAATGGTGAGACGGAACGGAAGGGGTTTGTTTGGGATGTAATGAGCAGGGTCCGTTGGATCAGAAGGATTAATAACGCTTTATCTTGAGGACACGTGGCACGTTGTGGACCGTTGTTAGTCGATAAGTGTTTGTTTGTAAGGACGAATTTAGAGCCCTTCGATTCGGTGAGTGTTGGATGATCTGGACCGTTGTTTTGGTATCTGGCATGTGCTCGCCCTCTGACCTGGACTATCTCAATCTCCCTTATTTTATTCAAAATCTTCTCTCTCTCTCTCTCTCTCTCTCTCTCTCTATATATATATATATATATAAAATAATTATACCACCCATATATGTGAATATATAATAACAATAATATAAAGAAAGAAAAACAATAAAAATTATGACTGGTATTTTAATTAAATTTTAATTTTTGGTGTAATTTATTATTCATAATTATAATAAATATTTTAGAGATTTTAAGTGATTAATTAATATTGAAATAAATATGATATTATTAAAAAATATAATTGAAGTTTGAAATAATTTATTTAAAATTTTGAAATCAAGAGAAGTTAATGCACTATTGATAAAAAAAATATGAAAAAAATTAATTTTAAAATTAAATCAAATAATTATCAGTACGATTTTAATGAAAATTACTAAATAGTTTGAAATGGCTTTTGTGAAATTTATAAAAAATATAAAATTTCTCTCGAAATATTCTTTCCCTCTTTACTCAAATATCTATCCTTTTTTGTTTGATTTTAAAAGTCATTTCTAATATCTTTTATGAAGAGTTATTTGTACAATATTGCTGGGTTTTTTATTTTTATTTTTATCAAACTTGACATTTGTTAAATTAATACTAAATGCATAAAAGAATAAGTATATATTAAGTGAGAGTAAGTTTGGAGTGAAAAATGAAATTCTTATTTATGATTCACATATGACATCAACCCCATTTGCATGAATTCTTTTTAATAGAATACCGTATAGATTTTAATTTAATTTAGACTTTTTTTTTTTATCAAATATATCATCAAACAAAGTTATGATATTTATCTTCTGGACAGAGAATATGTTAATTATTAGATAAATTTCTTGAAGCAAGAGTATTAATTCAAATAATTAAAAATTATAAAAATAAAATGTGAATAATTTAAAAAAATAAAACTATACTCGAGTTAAAATATAGAAACAAAAACTGAAATTAAGTTTTGTTTTTCTTCAAAGCAATGATTCTAGAATTGAGTGTCTTGTAGGGTAATGTTTGTTCACGATCAAGGTTGACTAATCAATATTAGGTTTTATACTTTATACAGTTTGGATTCTGTATAAACTAAGTGGATACACAATTCTTCTGTAACTCTAAGAATTTTAAAATATTTTTTCTATTTTAATTTAATTTTTAAAATTTCCTTAAATTAAAAATATAAATGCAATGAAATTTACAAAATATTTGCAAGTTACTGAAACAAAACTCTTGTTTTTTATCTTGTCACAGTACTTTCACAACTATTCATTATAGTTGAATATGCAATATTACAATAAAAATAGTTTAAAGGGGGAATGAAAAGACTTTCATTGCTTGCCAAACAATGTTGGCAATTATTTCAGAATCTTTACTCTTCACTGGTGGCCTCAATTTTGACTTGGAAGCTTCTCATATACCACTCCTTTCCTGAATGGAGAGGGTTTGGAGTTCTTGAGAAAATTAAAAAAGGGGGTTTGATTTGATGTATTAGTCGTCTATGATACAAATGCCTTAGTTAAAGATCAAATATCACTAGACACGCTTTTCCTCATCATTTTACATCTTTAATTATTTCATCATTTGATCATGTTTGTTTTATTTATTCCTCACATATTCATATTATGATTTTATTACCTATTTTTAAATGTAAAGAAAGTAAAACTTTCAATTCTCTATGTCCATAGACCATACAAGAAAAGATATGCATACGTTTGTGAACTATTTATTGTAAGACAGATTATTGATAATTGATTATGCATTGATAATTAGTTTTTTCAAAGAAATATTCATCCTTAGTACACATATATCAGTCTTGGTTCAATAACTAGATATGAAATCATTGGATGACATTGATGCTACATTATACTAATCATAAGATTCACATTCCAGATACATGTGGGACTTATTTTGTGCTTTTCATTAGGTGGTGTGTGAAGGAAGATCTGGGCAATTCCACAGCATAGTGACTATCGTATGTTTTGTATCATTTCAATTTGTTTGGGTCTAAGGAAAGATGCTTCTTCTTGCAATAATGGAATAGAAACTTTTATGATTGTCTTTGTTAAATACCCTGTGTTATGGGATTCTTGAAGATTTAAAATATTGGGGTTACAAGAGGATTTGATTGTGAAACTAATATTGGCCTAGAGTTTAGAGAGAGAAATTAGGACAATTTCATTTTTTCTACAGTTATGGAAGCAAGTGTTTTCTTTATGTGCTATTAGTTGGTGTGCTTCACCATTCTTCTTGTACTGGGTGAGAATTGCCTCAAGTTTAAAATATGTTGTAGAGAGATGCAATGTTTTTTTTTTTTTTTTTGCTATAAGAGAGATGCAATGTTTAATCATGCCATTAAAATTTTTCAAATTTCATATTATACTAAAAAAATTTTAATGGTTGATATTTAATGCAGGAAATATGTCACTCTGGATCTCTTTCCACATTGCAACACCTATACATATGTTTTATATATTGTTGTTTACTTTTATTCCAACTGAAATTTCAATAAGGGATAGTTTGGATTAATTTTTTAATAAACATTTAGAAGAAGTAGAATAAATAAATTAAATTAAATTTTTCTAAAAATTAAAATTAAATTACACACTTAAGATCTATTTAGTAGATAAGATAAGAAAATATGATAGGATAATTTTTTCTATCATCTCATATTTTTAACTTTTATTTAATTAATAAGATGTGATAAGTAATAAATATATTTTATAGGCTTATCCTATTTTATTTAGCGTAAATTTTATCTTGTAAAGAAGCATGTGTTAAAAATAGAGTGGATAAAATAACATAATATATTTATTTTTTATTTTAATAATGTAAAAAAAAAAAACTTATCTTACTCTTGTTGTATCACATTTTTACTCAATTATTATATTCTATCATTTTTTATTCATTCAACTAAACTACTAAATTTTAGATAAATTAAATAATTTTTTTTAAAATTAGATGTTTAAATTAATTTAACTTACAATTTTTTTTTAAATTCCAATAAATATGGATCCACAAATTTACCTAAAATAGACCCTATTCTTTGAAGAGTTGAGATCAACTTGTGCCCATTGGGTGAGATTAATTAACTTTCCTTTACTTTCACAAAAAGAAATATTAGGTCATTTTGCAAACCATGGAGATATTCATATCAAGAACTTATGCTTTAGTTTTAAACATGAAAAGAAAACCTGTCAATATCTATATATCATTCGACAAAAAGGATATATCATATCATCTCTTAAACATAAACCGGCCGAACTCTAAAAAAAATCTTAAAACTTTTTTCTAATGTTTTCCCTTTATTTCATTATTTATTATTTTTTGAGTGGACTCAAGTAGCCCACGGTAAGAAAACCGATAAACTTGAATAAGATTGATCAATAGTTTATAAGCATAGAATAATAATTTGCTTCACGCAATTCGTGTCTCTATTCTTATTGTGTCTGTCTTGCATGACTGTGTGCCAAACAAAAACATTTCTGAAACAAACAAATTCATTTGTTAGTCATTGTTTGTTCTCTATTGAGTATTGATATTATGAACATTTTTTATTATTGCAACTGCTTCATGGATCCCCCTCCCATTTGCCCATTGGCCTTATTTAATTTGAACTAGTTGATAAACTTCAGAACATATATATAAGATAAAAGGGTTTGGTGTTTCAATTCATTGATTGATTGAAATAAACTTTAAGGTAGTTTATAAGGTTTTTTGCTCATATTACCAACCTCGTACCATAAACTGAATCAACAATTGGTCGACAGCTTGAATAAACTATGAAGAAAATCTCACATAGCGGTTGAGAAGATATTAATTAACTAATAACTGGCCCTTTCAAGTGTTTAAATTGGGAGCACTAGTTATAGTCAGTGGTCACATGCATAGTGACTTTGCATGTAAGCAACTTGAATGGTGCCAAAAGCACCACTATTAAACATTATTAGGGTTGCTAAGTGGGTAACCGACTTTGGGCCATTGTTTTGATTTCTATTGTTGATGATGTGATGTGGATGACCTTTCTTTTTCTCTTGATCACTCTCTTTGGTTTTTTTTTTAAAGCAACTTTTTCTAACACCAAACATGAGTCTTATTACTTATTTCGACAAAGGAAAAAGAAAGTCTAATTACCATAATATCTTTGAAAGTAATTCACTTTCTCATGCCGTGCTAGCTAGAGAGAGACCTACTTCTATTTTATATAAGATATGAAATTGCTAATATTTTCTTTGCAAGTTAGAATGAGAGAGAAAAGAAAAGAGAAAAAACAATAGAATTTTAAGAACTTTATTTGTTTTAGAATATTTACGAATAAAGAGAAAGAGTTTAGGGAGGGGGAGTTTGTATGTCCTCTACAATCTTTTTCTTTTTTGAATTTTTTAAAAAAACTTTTAACCTCTATACAAGAAACTAGTTTAACTATCATTTTTCCTTTTTCTCTTTTATGTTTTAATTTTTTTTCAAACTTTCAAAAAAGTCTAAAGTTTAAATAGTTTAAGATTGAATAGGAGTATAATATTTTCCAATATTTAAAAAATTATATGATATAAACTTAATTAGGTGACTGTGGTTTTCGTTCTTAATAATTATAATAATTTTTTATTATGATTGTATAATTGAAGAGTACAAAAAAAATATTATACGGTAAGAAAAAAAATCATACATATTATTTTTTATCAAAAAGAATAAGTAAAATGAATATTTAAGTCTTTTAGTTTATTTATTTATTTTATTTTAGTCATCTAACTTTTATATATCTAATAAGTTGATTTTTTTTATTAATTCTATTTAACTCAATTGATGACAGTATTAACTTATTTTATTTTTGAAATAACAGTAGCGGGTCTTCTCCATTACACGGATCAGCTCTAATGTCAACGTCTTCTACTCTATCTCATCGTTTTTATAATTTAAAAGCATGTTTGTTTCTAATTTTTAAAACAATTTTTAAAAAAAAATTAAAAATACATATATTTTTTATTTTTAAAAAGAGAAAAGTCTTTTAAAAATTGGAAACAAACATATTTTAAAATCTTGGCTTCTTGTCTTGG